ATAATTTAAAGCTAAAGAGAGAAGAGAATCCCGAAGAAGCCTTGGATCTAAATAATTGCAAGCTATATATAGGCCTATATACTAGCTTAAGCTCGGGATTATATATAATAATTAGGTAACTATAGATATCTTACTCAGATATCAGATACTTTTCTAGCTCTAGTCTAATTCTTACTAGTACCGTATATTATAATAACCATAATAATATTAGTTTATTTCTTATATTAAATATCTAGTTATTAATCTAGTAATTATTCTTATTTATAAATAAAACGGAATTCTTAATTCTAATAAGCTATAATTAATTACTATAGACTAAAAGCAGGAAAGAGCCTTAGTATTAGCCCCTAAATAGTTCTCCTAATAGGGATCTATAGTTTTCCTAAATATTTACTTATTTAGATCTCTATTTTATTACTTTTTCTTATACTAGTTTTTTCCTTATATAAAGTTAACTAGTAATTATCTCTAGCTTATTAACTTTCTTAGTAAGTTAGTTAATATATAAATAGAATTTCTAGTAGTATTTCGCTTATTTATTAGCTATAAGGTAATATTCGTTAATAAGGTTATTCTATATAAGTAATTTCTACTAGGCCTTATCTATTTTCGGAGTATTTATACTAATTTTGAGTTCCAAGTCAGCTAGCCGCTTCTTAATATTTTCTTCCGGGATAGTATTATAATAGCTTTCCCGGTAATATGAGTTTATAATATTAAAGTCCGGCTTTTTCGTTTTATTATACTAGGGCCTCTTATCTAATATACTTATAGTAGTAGTACTTGGCCCTGGGCCGTCTATAGTAGCTTTAGAAGGGGTATTAGCTATAGAGATAAGTACTAAATAAGTTCTTCTTATTTAATATTAGTAAACTATAACCGATTATTATCTTATCTAGTTTTAAGTTAGTAAACTAAAACTAACTATTATCTTTTCTTGTTTTAAATCAGTGAACTACTACTAATTCTTCCTATACTAGGGAAGAGGGCTAGTTCTTTTACTCTTATTAGTATCGAGGAAATATTATTTATTCTAGTTAAGGATCAGGTTCCGAGATTAACCGGGTTATAAAAAATAATGTCTTTCTTCTTTTATATTAGTAAAGAACTAATTACTAGAAAGAAAATATTATCTGTTCTAGTTAAGAATTAGGCTCCGAGATTAACTAGGTTATAGAGGATATTATACTTCTAGTTAAGCTTTCTAGTTCTTTATAGTTCGAGGAGGTTATTAAATATTAAAAGCGGTATTCTGTCTTTACTTTCCAAGAATAAATACAGGTCCTTTATTAGTAGTATTATATTACCTCTATAGGCCGAGTTAAATAAGCTTAGTATTATATAATAGCAGAATTAATATAATAATTAAAGGCTTAAAGTTTAAAGAATCTCATATATTAGAAAATACTAAGCTATAAAATAAAGTAGAGAGAATATCTTGATTTTTAGTATTATTTCATCTAAGTAATTCTGGCTTAGCTTTATTTTATACCTGTTTCTAATATCCTATTCTTAGTAAATTATATTCTTATACTAGTTATTATATATAGCTATAATAATTATTTATAAGAATAAGTATTTCGAGTACTAGTATTAAAATAATAGTTATATATTTATAATTTATAAACTAGGCTTTCTAGACTAGGAAATTATTTATAATAATTACTAGATTATTTTATATAATTTATATCTTTTTTAGAAATTTTATTCTTATATTAATATTAAGATTTATATTTCTATATAAGTAATTAAATATATTTATAAATATATTTATAAAGAAATAAATTATATAATTATTATAGTTTTAGAAATAAATAATAAGATTATCTAATACTTTTAAGCTCGATATATAAGCCTTATAAAGGCTTTCTAGTATCTATTTAAATACCTAATATATTAGAAATTCTTTCTAGTCTAGTATTTAGTAATCTATTTTCCTAAATAATATATAATTTATTTTATAAATAATTTCTTATTTAAGTAAATTATAAATAGAGTTATAAATATTTATTTAATCTTAATAATCTTTTTTAAGTATAATATAATATATAAGAATAGCTACTAGTATCTATATTACGAGTTTCTATAATACTTTATATAAGTTACTAAAACCCGAATATAAAAATACTATAAATAAAAATATAGTATTAGCTATATTTATTATTATAGTCTAGTTTTAAGTAAATAGTTCTATTTATAGCTTTTACTAATAGTTATATATAGTCTATAATTCTTTAATAAGCTTTATTTAATTAAGGATATTTATTATTTCATATACTATATTATCTATATTACTTATAGCTTAGTAAAAAATAATTAGAAGTAGTTCTAGTATTTTAATAAGATAATTCTATTAATAACTAGCTATAATTTATAAATATTCTTTTTTATAAGTATTTACTAGTAGCTAATTATAGATATATAAGTAATCTGGAACTAGTATAAGAAGTATTTCTATAATAATTTAGCTCGTAAACTTATTTATAACTTATTAATTAATTTCTTATTATTCTTAATTAATTCTTATTATAATTATATCTTCTTTTTACTTGGTTTTAGTTTTATAAATCTCTAATAAATACTTATAAATATTACCCTATCTAAAAATATCTTTAACTAAATTATAAACTATTATATAGCTAATTTATAGATTAATTATACTTATAAGATATTACTAATAATTATAATATAAGCCTAGCTAAATATAAACTAGTACTTTTATTTTCAAATAATTATAATAGTAATTATAAATAATTTATAAACTACTTACTTTTATTTATAAGACCCGAATAGAACTAGTAAGATATTTCTTTATAAGATTCTTTATTACTATTATTATAGCCAAGGTAAGGTAGTCTTATATATAGTATTAATAAATATTATGGCTTTTCTTTTCTCGAATAAATATATATCTTATTTCTAGTTCCGGATCCTATTTAAGCTTAATAAGTTATTTATAAGTATAATTACTAAAACGAGCCGGCTCGGGGCTTTCTTATAATCTATAGACCTAATTATCTGAGATAAGGTACCTATATAATATAAGTATTACTTTAAGGTAATATACTAGCTAATAATTAATTTATAATTAGTAGTAAATAATATTCTTTTTAAAAAAATACTTATAATTCTTAGAAAGAACTTTACTTAGATCTTACTAGTAATTTTATATAATTTACAAGCTAATATAATACGGGCCTATTTATAATAAATATAAATCTGGCTATAGCTCTATTAGTTATTATTATAAATTAATATACGGGTCCGTAATAGCTTGTCTAAATAGGATTTTATAAACTAGATTAGTAGTTTTTTATATAATTTGTTTTTAAATAGGCAGATTATATTCCTATTTTTTATTCTATATATCTAGTTAGTTACAGACCTAATTAATTATATCTATTTATAAGAGCGACTTTTATAGGCCCTATATAATTACTAGGCCTTTAGTAAATAAGTAATTTTATTAACTCTAAATAATATAGTTTATAAGCTTAACTAAATAATCCTAGATATATTTTCTAGCCAGAAACGAATATATTTTATAATAGATTTAGCTAATATAAATAAAGCAAATCCTGAAATTATAGAATTACTTCTAGAGGTCTTATAAAATATTTATTTACCGGATCTATTTCTTTCTAATTTATAACTTAAGATTAATATACCCGTAATATTCTTACGGGATCTCTATTTATAAAAAGAGTTTTATAACGAATTACAGATATTAATATATAGCTTTAGGAGATTCTTAATTCGGGTATAGCTACTAAGTAATAACTTTAATAGCTAGTTATAAATAATTTCACGAATTAAGCTCTAGTTTATAAATTAGTAATTATCTTTTATACTTTCCTATAAGTAGTTTCTATTTGCTTTATTCTTTATAATAATTATTAATAAGTTATAAAGCTAGTTATTTGAGATAGTAAAAGTGGATTTATAATTACTAGTCTTTTCTTATAACTAGTTTTATATAGTAGCCTTATAAATAACCTTATAAGTAAGGCTTTATATTCTTTTATTCCCTAATATAAATTATATAAGTAATATAATATATCCAGAAATATTATAAGGTCTTATTTAGCTTTTAATTTACTTATAACTGACTTTATATACTTACGGGCTATTTTTCTTCTTATACCATCCGTAAAGAGTCCGTAAAGAGTCTGTACCTGATTTATATACTTAGCTAAAAGCCTTTACCAAGTCACATGACTTCGGCCAGCGCCTTTGTCATGTGACATGCCCCCTTTAATTCCAAACCCACTCGGGACGAGTTTAGGGCCGCTTTGCTAAAATTATTACTAGCGGCCCTATGCAAGCTTCGGGGCTAGCAATAATTTTGCCCTAAACTCGTCCTCTTCTATATTGTCCTATATTCGGACCACCCTAAGCGGTTGGCTCCCAGTACTCCTGGAAAAAGCGGGTCACGTGAGGAACGCCAGAATCTCTCCCTTCTAGGAAATCGCGCATCGGAACGCGATTACGCCCAAATCCTTAGAGCTAAGCTTGGGATAATAGAGAGGATACTCGAGTACCTTTCTCTATATTTTAGTAGTTCTGGGATGCGAGGGGCTTTTACTACGATTTTTTAAAGCTCGGGAGGGGTGGGGTAAGGGGAATTCTTAAGGCTCTCGCTAGCTCTTGGGGCTCCCTAAAAGAAAAATAAGGTTATAGATTATATAAGGAATACTAAAACTTCCAGTACGGTTTGACGCCATAGCAGGCGAGCTTGCGAGCCCGGATGTGGCTATAATGGCCCTTTATAAAACTTTACCTACTCGGGACGAGTTTAGGGCAAAATTATTGCTGGCCCCGGAGCTTGCGTAGGGCCGCCAGTAATAATTTTAGCGGAGCGGCCCTAAACTCGTCTAAATAATACCACGTAATGGCCCGTATAAAACGGACACCGCCACGTGACCCATTTTTTACTAGCAGGTCCGTGCGGGAATACCAAACACACTTTACGTATGCTATGTACGCTATTATTACTTATGCTTTCTATAGCATACCAGGAGCAGTTACGGATCCTATGGTCTGAAGAGCAGTAGCAGATCCCACGGTTAGCCCGTATGGTAGACCGCTGCTTGATGTATAAGCGTATCCGGCCGATAATCGACTTCCCTCTCGATCGGACGAATCTACGGGCGTATACGTGCTTCGCGTGCCACGAGCGACGACGCGACTCTTACTGCGAGCAGAGAGGGAAGCCGGTTTCGCAAGACGGGCGGGCACGGAGGCTAATACGGGCCCGACAGGTCGTTGAGAAGGCTCTCCGGGCACGATTATAACGGGAGAGAGCCCGGGAGCGGTGGTTAGAGAGAAAGAGAGAGTGGGAGGTGGGGCCTTGAACGGGAGGTTTGTATAAGGAGAGTTAGAGAGCTTTATGCTCCAGGACGAGCATTGGATTGGGCCCTTAAGCGAGGAGGACTTTACGACCTTAGAGGAGAGCTGGAAGGGCGTACCGAGAGCGGGAGAGGGTCCAACGGGCTTACAAGAGCTCCGTACGGCCTTCTACAAAAAGAAGGAGTACTCTACGGCTGCGAGCTGGCGCTGGAAGAGCCCGTACCGGCATTGGGAAGGCTGGGAGGGTCCGCAAGAGGAAGAGGAAGAAGAGGGTACGGAGAGCTGGGAAGGGTCTGCGGGCAGGGGGGAGTATTGGGAAGGCTTGTAAGGAGAGGAAGAGAGCTGGGAGGGCCAAAGTAGCCTGTAAGAGAGCCGGGAGAGCTCTATAGCCCCTATAAACGGCCCGCAAGACTGCCCGCAAGACTAGTACTGCTCCTCTTGTAATCAGAAGAGGCCCCTTATAGACTTTGGCCGATTCTCTACTTGTAATGCGTGCCGGCAACGTAATAAGAAGGCAAACCAGGCGCGGCACGCGAAGCAAAAGGCTCTCTTAAATAAACCCTCTTAGACACGCTTATACGCCTGACCGGGACGAGCTTGCGAGTACGGGTTGGGCCCCTAAGGAAAGGAGGAAGGCAGATCGCGTAATCTTGCCTCCTAGTAAGGCAGATTTCTAGATCCAGGTAAAATTGGAAGGTTTCCCCGAAGCTTGCGTAGGGCCGCAAACCCTCTAATTTTAGCGCAGTGGCCTGGATCTAGTGGTTAGTAACGTATTATCACGCTTCATATTGATATTAATAGTTGATTATATACCCGATATAAACAAATCCTCTAAACCAGGCCCGCCGTATACTATCTGATTCGTTATTAGTACCAAGGGGCAGGCACCTTAACTCTCACTCTATTCTTTGAAGTATTTATATGGCTTGTGTCGCGCTTCATGGTAAGCTTATGAATACGAAGCACATTAGTAATAGTTATGAAAGCCGCGCTTTGTGAGGACTACAGGGACTTCCTGCAGAGTAACCACGACGACAAATGGCGATGCTTTAGGGACAGCCCGGAGTATGAGAGATCCGTAGCTAAAGTTATGGGTGCCGCTAATAAAGGGTGCCGCCTCTGTGAAACTATAGTAAACAAGTTCAAATCCCTCTAGTTAGAGCTATTATTACTCGCTCAGACAAATGGTTAACTAATCACATTCCGCTTACTCATAAGGCCCTACTAAAATACGAACTTGTAATGAGATGAGGGTATTAATAGACCATTCTTATAGGTCTCAATCTCATAAATATGGGTTGAATTCCGCTTGTGGCGCATAATAGAGGGGTCTATAGTTACTAGTATATCATACTATAATTATAATACATGCTCGGAAACCAGCTTCGCGAGGGTAGTAGAGTGGCTACGCGAATGTATTTTGAAGCACGACAGGTGTAATAGAGTTAATACTCCTAAGGAATGGGCCCCGAACCGGCTAATTGACGTTAGATTAGGGTCTCCGTTCCCTGATATAATCAAACTATAATAGACTAAAGGCTAGAAAACACCGATATGGTATGCCGCGTTAAGTTACTATTAGAGAGCTATATAGCCTCATACGCTATTACAGAGCAATCTGCATGCACTTATGGACGGTATCCTATTAGTTAATTTGCTAAAGACTTTTAAGGACGCTATCTATACTACTCGAAAATTAGGAATCCAGTATCTCTGGATAGATTCCTTATGTATTATTTAAGACTTGAATAAAGATTAGGATCTCGAGTTATTTTTTATGGCACATGTCTATGGCGGATACCTGCTAAATATTACAGCCGCTGTATTAAACGACTATATAGGTGATTTATTTCAAAAGCGACCATCGTCCTACCTAGGCCCTTGCTTAATATCGGTGGAAAACCAGAACGAGGCTTTAATATCATGGTATTAACTATGGGACCAGAACCTCTGGTATGCCGAGTTCGAAACCGCTAAGCTCAACACGCGTGCTTGGGTATTGCAAGAACGCATGCTATTACCACGCACACTTGCCTTTACCCAGGCACAGCTTTATTGAGAGTACAGGTATAAGCGCGCCTCCGAGAAGTTTCCTTTAGAATACCCTATTGAGCTTTTCGAGAAATGGCAGAGGGACTTCGAGTAGCCCAGATTGCGTGATAGGCTAAAGACACATTCTCTAAACCACTATGTAGATAGCCGGTTAGGCAATGACTACATACCGCGGCTAAGCCTTGCCTGGCATAACCTAGTCATGCTTTATTTAAGAAAGAATATGACCTTCGAGAAGGATAAGCTAGTCGCAATTAGCGGGCTCGCTAATCTATTTGGGTAATAAATAGGCACAGAATACTTCGCCGGACTATGAAAGATTACTTTGCTTAGTGACCTTCTCTGGGAGGTTAATGCCGACAAATATGCCAGAGATCGACCGTTGACTTACCGAGCCCCTTCGTGGTCATGGGCCTCCGTGAAATGCCCTGTAAAGTATCTCCCTGGCTAGATCGAGTTAAAGAGGGTTATAATCGTTGACTTTAATATTCAAAGAGCGCCGGGGAAGAGTTAATTCGGTAGCGTAACTGGAGGTTACCTTCGACTTCGGGGAAGCCTTTTCCCCGATCTCAGTGTTGTGTTTAATGTAGAAACCCTTTATTCTCTAAGGAAACGTAGCTTAAAAAGCACCGAATTAATTACAAGTTATATACCAGACGAGAGGGTAGGGTCTGCAGATATGCAAATAGAGCTTTTGTGCCTGCCTATTAGGTCATATCTCAACTTTACTCGTGTGACGGCTGGTATCACATGGGTGCTACGGGTTGGTTTCAGCTAAGGTTCCAAGCTATGGTTCAAACCAAGCTCGCTTCAAACCAAGCTCGGCGTTTCAGTGGTCTTGGCCATACCTACTTATCCACTGCCACACCTCACTTCTCTCCTTCTCTCCTTAGCTTTAGATTCTATAAGACATTGGAATCATAGATCTTTGAGCATTGTTCCATTACTTTGTTCCTGCCGTTATAACTCGAGCTAGTGGGGGCTAGTACTACGAATATAGAGGTCTTGTATTATTAGTAGAAAGGAATCAGCCTAGGGGCTACTATAAGCGATGGGATACCTTCCAGGTAACACAGTCCCAAATACAGCTCTCGTTTTTTAATGATCCTTATAATCAGGCGTCTATTAAACGCTATATTAATGGCGAAGAGGATATGATTATTATTATATGACTTGTGTTATATTGCCTAGTTTTATGTAGCTAAAGGCTAAAGAAAAGCAATAATATTCTAATACTATTCCTATATGCAAGAGCCATTTGATTTGTATAAGGGGTTGGAATTGCCTTTATTAACGGAGTTGAGGGATTCGACTACTTCTGTTACGGATCGTATTTTATATATATATTATAATAATACTGGTCACGGATTATTGGGGTCCACGTATTACATTATCTAATGGTTCTAGCTACTGAATTGAAACTCTGCATAAGGCAAAGCATGACTAAGTACTAAGTAAACAGATCACGTGGTTTTGGTCCGTTAGCTGGAGTGCCAGCCTAGTCACGTGGAGGTAGCTGACGCTAAGTCACGTGAGAGAACTTGAAGTATATAGTTCAGGGGCCTCCTAGGCCCTTCTTCCCTCCTTATCCTTGATATTCTAAGTTATGGTATCTGGACGCCTCTTTCTTCACATTGACTTGTTCCTGCTGTGACACCCTTAGGAGCTTGTTTGGGCTCCTTAGGGATCATTGCAAAAACTTGACAAAAATGAAATGAAAAGGTCCTAGTCTATATCCAGCCTAATTAGAGATCAAATGCGTAAGTGAGTAGTGTGTACCTGCTCAGGGGCTGCTCAGGTTACTCAGGTGAGCTGGGTGAGGAGAGGGTGAGGAGAGGGTGAGCCGAGGGTGATTAGCGCCTGAGTAGAAGCGGCGAGCTTACTAACCAACCTTGGGACGAGGGGAAAAAAAGTTGTGCTCGACTACCGAAAGAGCATGAATTAGCGTCGGTTGAGTCTAGTGGCAGATCTTGATGCTCCTCGTCCAACACCTCCACCACGGCCAGCTGTACTGGTAGAGCACAAATCTATCCGACCGTGTATTCATTTCGCGTCAAGCGTTTTGGGGGCATTTCAAGGTGGATGGAGGATTATAGAATTCGAAGCTTTTGACCACGTATCAATCGTAAACTTCACGTCAACTTAGTAGAGATGAATTCTTCAAGGAGAATAATCTGATTTACCGTAGCTGTTTCTTGGATGTTGCGTGCAGACAGCTCTTTAAAGTTTGCCAGTTCGTAGTCTATTCATCGGGTTGATGTATCTCGCAGACGGCTACAGCCCACATTAGTACGATAATTGCTTGAACAACGAGGAATATCTTCAGAGGTCGAGGCGATCTGCCCAAGTTAGTTTTAAAGCACTATATGTGGCTTATTTACAAGATCCACTCAGTGGTAAGGGGTCATAGGTGGTGGGTAACCATCCAGATAGCCCAGGGAGCATTATTCTAATAGTTGTGACCACTCGCCTGGATATCTATATTCAGCGAGGGACATAATGCAGGCGAAACCTAGCTCTATATTCCTGGTACTAATTATCTATCTGTACTAACTACTTCCTTGTAATACTGGGTTTATAGTACTAACAAATTATTTATACTAATAATTTAATACTACTAATAATATACTAGCCTGGCCAGCTTACTATTCCTTTTAGTACTAGTTTAACTACTAATTTAGTCTTCTCTACTTTCATTCGTAATGCGTCACTTGTGGAGCTTATTAACGCTTACTAATAGATAGTTATATGCTTTATTTGCTAATTTATAATGCACGGAGAACACGTGCTTTGGAACACCCATATCGCTAAAGGCTAATGGGAATAAGAATGAGGCTTTGGTCTCCTTTCTCTCTCTTGTTAGAACTCACTCCGTCTGTACCTTAGTTATTTAAGTCCTGTCAATCATCAATATTATCGTCTTTGCACCTCCATATTGCTCCCAGCTCAATAGAGTTGTCTGGTCTGGCGCGGCGCGGCGCATGTACCAGTCAGGCAAGAGCTTTCTGTGATCAGATATCTGCCGATTCTAGATTATAAAGTCTTGATAGTCGTTTGTCCAGTCCTGTATCCATAATCTTTCCATCGTACATTGAATTGGAGAGCGACCGTCTGCCTCTGGAAGTACAGTAATGAGTCGAATTTCATTCTTTCTAGTATCCAGCAGTGAACTGCTGTAAATTGGAGAAATGCTTCCATACGCCATCCTGGGGCACTTCTGAGATGATAAAGAACAGGTTTTACCAATCTTTGATACCAAGACTCACATTGGGGATCATAACAGAGCTTTGAGGTTTGGAAAGTCAAGGTAGGTTAGAACTCGTAAGGCTAAGCAATATTAGGCATTAATGTTAGGCATTAATATAACAATATTAGGCAGGCATACAGCCACATGCCAGTCAATATTCTTTTATTTTATTTTATTGCCGGTTTTAGACCGAATTAATTTGTTCATCTCAGCTCAAAAATATGAGGACTTCATGAATAATACTTACTAACACCAAGAGCAAATCATAGAGTCAGGCACTAATATAGTGGTGTGGGAAGGACTCGACACCCCAGGCAAGGATAACTATTCAGAGATATTTAGTAGTTACACAATTCGGAACCCCCTAGTTAAAAGTTAACGGTTTCTAATAGGATACGTCACGGGGGTGAGCCATTCTAACTCGACCTGAGCAGAAGGGGAGGTTGGCCCGAGCAACGGCGGTACTGCTCAAGTGAGACATAGGTTTAGTAAGAACAAACGTTTCGGTGGGGGAATAGCAAATCCAGGGAACTCCCTTCTCAAACTATGATGCCATTAGTGCAGATGATTGGGCTATTGTACAGAAGAAGTGCGGACTATCATATCCTATTGCCGGTTCCCAGTATGATTGCGAATTCAAGCGTCTTGTCTGATTATTAGTCTGATGGGCCAACTGTAAATGCAGCATGTCTCTCAGGAAACGCCTACAAATGCTGCTTCTTGCGACACAGCGGAGTCAATTGCACAGAAGACGGATGTGGCACCTGGAATCCTCATAGTTCTCAACAATCTCCTCCCTGACGCATCGGACATCCAAGGCGGACAAGTTCTCGGTTTTCCTCAGACTTGTCAACGTACAAAGTAAGCGCAAACGATACGTGCCAGGCTTGGCAAAAATACTTTTGGTATCAATAAGGTATTAATACTGGATGGTATTAGTCAGGTATCACAAGAATCAATATATACTAATACCAAATCGATTCTTACCCCTTAAATTATCTCTTTCTTTTATTATTTAACTTATATAATAACATATTTATATATAATTTCTAGTTCTTCTATTAAAATAATTACTTATTATTATTAATAAAATTAATAATATCTTAAATTTAAAATAGATTTTATATTTAAAGAATTAAGCTTTATATTTATATTTCTTATTAAGATGCTTATTATAAGCAAGTCTTACGAAAATCTCAAAAGCTTATTTTTACTTAAAATAGCTATATTAAAATAAGTTTTAATCTAAAATATAAAATAAGTAATTAAATAAAAAGCTTAAATTAAGTAAATATCTATATTACTAAAAGTTTTCTTATAAGAGAAATAGTTTTAAAGTTAATTATAATTAAAGAAAGAAATTAGGTTCTAGAAATTAATATTTTATAATTTTGGTATTAATATATATTAATACCGGAAATTAGGTATTTTTACTAAGCCTAATATATATTATTTAATTATAATAGCTTATAATTTCATTTATATATACTTCTAATATATAATTCTATAATTAATAAATATTATACTAATTTAGTAATAAGGAAAATAATTTAAATTAGTATATTTAGCAAAATATAGAATTTAATAAAAATTATAAAAGCTATAAATATTCGGACTAATATTTATATAATAGCTATTATTAGTAGATTAAATAAATAAATTAAATTAGATTAATAATTATTAACCTAATTTATTTATGAGAAAAACTTATTAATTAAGCTTTAGGTTATTTATTATTATTTAGCCTAAGAAAATATATATAAAAGAAATAGTTTAAATTAAGAAAGCCTTATTTATAGCCCTAAACTAGCCTAGTATAATTACCTTTTAAATCTTTAGGCTATTTGCCTTAAAAGAAAGCCCGAAAACTTCTTTTCTAGATTTTAATCCGGTTATTATTTCTTTAGAATAAGTTAGTTTAATATTTAAGAATAAACTCTAGCTATAGATACTAATATTTAAAGAAAAAGAAAAAAAAAAGCTTTTTATTAAAGTCTTCTTATTATTTGCAAATAATTCTTATATAATTTCCAAGCCTTAATATATCTTTATAGCCTAAGTCTTTTAATAATATAAATAAATCTATATATAAAAATACCTATTAAATATATCTCTAATATCTCTTTAATTCTAATTAAGTATAATAGCTAGTATTATATAATTAATACAGATATGTTTTTAGCTAAAGGAGTTAGTTTCAGCTAAGGTTCCAAGCTATAGTTCAAATCAAGCTCGCTTCCAAAGCTCGGCATTCTAGTAATCTTGGCCATACCTACTTATCCACTGCCACACCTCACTCCTTTCCTCCTTAACTTTAAATTCTTAAGATATTAAAATTATTAATCTTTACATCTCGTCTCATTACTTTATTCCTGCTATTATATAAAGGATATATATTATTAGTATATAAAGAGTCGGGTTTCCCTTTATTAGTAAGTAAAATAAAATATTAATTTTCTTATAAAAGTCTTAGTTAATTAAAGACAAGTAAGTAAATCCTATATATTAATATTAGATAATAGAGATATAAGTCTTAAGTTAAGGAGAGAAGTCGATTTGAGTTAGAGTAATAGTAATAGTAAGAAAGAGATTTATTATTATTAGATCGGAACTTAATTCTAGTTTTATATTTTCTTAGAGAAGCAAATAGTTAATAAACTAATTACTACAAGTTACTAGACTATATTCCGAGAAGATATTAAGTTATTATAATCCGAAAAACTCATTAATTATGTTCTATTTATATATTAATTAAATTAATTATAGTTAATATACACGTGGTCTTTATATATAATAAAATTAGCCAGATTAGGTAAAGCTCCCGCTTGCTCCCGCTTTAGTACTATCTTACTACCTAATTAGGTATTAGTATTATTTAGTAAGAGAGCTTAAGATTAGGAGTAAATCAAGATTTTAAAGTAAGTAACTAGTTTATTATAATAGAAAATTAGTATTTAGTTACTATTATATAAGCCTTACCTTAGTTTAATTAGGGCTGCTTTAAGAGTACTTTGTTTATTTAATAATTATTAAATAAAAGCTAATTTACTATAGTTATATAATAAATGAATTAGATTAATTATAATTAATCTAATTAACTATTCTAATCTAATCAAAAAAATCGAAAAAAAATCCGAATTACGTTAATTATATTCTAATCTGATTAATGTGATTAGTTCTCTGACACACTGGCTGCTATGAATCCACCAGGAACGACGTCGCAGAATGGCAAATTCTGCATGGTCCAGCCAGACGACTACTGCCAGCTAGCATCTTTGAACCAGAGTGTCTCTCTCACACTGTTTGAGGCAATCAATCCTTCAATTAACTCTAGATGCACCAATCTGGTGGCTGGATTCCATTACTGCCTTGCTCCGACCGAGAACTGGAATGCAAATGCGGCGGTGAGCAGTACATTGGGATATGTATCAGCACCAGCTCCTACGCCGTCGGCAAACACGGGTAACTGCTATGAATGGTACACAGTCTAACCAGGTAACAATTGTGACCTGATTGGGAACTCTTTTGGGATCAACTAATGGCTTGGAATCCTGCCGTCAAGAGCGACTGCTCTAACCTCGTGGCGGGAGATGCGTATTGCGTCAATGGAGACACTAGCCCTTCCTCTTCTTCACCATCCACGAGATCTGCCGTTCCAACACGTGCGTCTGCTTCAGCATCTTTACCACTACGCTTCAACCATCGTCCCTGCTCCGACTGATGTAGCCTTAGGGACTACAAAGAGCTGCCTCAAGTGGTATGTCGTTCAGTCAGGGAATATCTGCTACTATATTGACAACGCCAACGGAATTTCGTTCACGCAATTCAGAGCATGGAATACAGGTGTAGATGCTGGGTGTAGTAATATTATACCAGGTGTGGCATACTTTGTCAGTTCAGCAGCGGTGACAAAAGCCAAGACAGGCGAGATTGAGGTGGAGCCTGTTTGGAAGGAAATGCTGCCTCCAAAATTTCCGGGAGTTGACAGAGCGTTTGATGAGATTGTAACGGAGGAAGAGTAGTAAGGAGGGTGGTAGCTAACTATATCGAGAGATACTTGGCGGATAGCACATGAGAACGAAACGCAGCGCTAATAGTAGAGAGCTCCACAAGTAAACTTGATTCTATAAACACCAAGTGACTAGGACAGCCCGACCAACTGTTGTTTTCCCGTCCCACCGTCCGCATCAGTGGTGAGCGCACCTCTGTAGATGACTCCACCGCCGGGATCGAGATGCCCAGGTGAAATTTCTGACAAGAACCACACATCAGGAATCAACACATCCGTGGCAATTTTGACGAAGCCTTCAGTGCCAGCATCCTCAGTCACCCTATTGCTCATGACTTCAATCACAAAGGGCACCGAATCGTCGGCTCTCTCTAACAGACTCTGAACAGAAGACCTGTCAACAAGCAAGCAGAGATCCAGCTCCAGTCCCATGGGAAGTGTTTCCGTCTTAAGAAGGCGCTCGAAGCTCTCTCTTACCTGCTCAACCGAGACAACATTGAGACTCTCATCCTCCACAAGATGCCATAGTAGTTTGCCAGCCAGCCCCACTCCATTCTCCCTAAACAGATCATCCATGAACTCCAGCCATTTAGACCAAAATCGTGTCCATGTCTCCGCATCGTTTCCATAGCCCCAAGTTTGTAGACTACAAACCCTCAAACGTCCAGATCTTCATCTACCATCTGCTGAGCAATGTTCGAGAATAAACCTTGGAAGTCGGAGATGCGGAATCCTTTTTCTTGTGCGATGCGTGCTATTTCTTCTTCTGTCATATCTTCTTCTTCCCATCGCCATCCACCTCCTCGCTGCTCCCAGCCAGTTCTTGTGCTCCCGCCACGACCATTGCATCAAGATATGCTTGGATCTGGGAGCGTGTATCAGGTGGGAGACGTGCGAAGTCGAGCGGTGGAAGAGAGAGTGCGCGCGCAGCTGTCCAACCTTCTGGGAGTGGAGGTAGATCTGCCATTGCTCGTAAAACGGATGTAGACGGATGTATCCAAGGCAGACACGTTGAAGAAAGCAGTTGTGCGGTGCGAGTAGGAAAGGGAATGATATTTGCCGGAATTCTAGGAAAAGGTTTTGGGTGCATTCATTTCAAGGGATTTGATGGAGAGTTGAGTTTCGACGATGCCATGTCTGATGGCAAAGCCAGCCTAAAGAATCCATCGCCATATTCTGTTGGGAGTTGAGGTTCCTGTTAGCGGTCGTTGATGGGTTATTTGCAGATTACTGCACAAAGGGCTGAAGTGTCCCAGCACCCATCCCACACGTGACTTTTTACTATTAGCGATTCCAACTCTGGTTCATCATTCGAGAACTCATTACTATGCTTATAAACAGAGACTGTTAGAAATACAAGGTTCCTTTAAAGTCTTGCTGTTCTCTTTACTGCCATAGCTCCCTACATATCCTGCCTCTTTTTACCTAGCTATAAAATAGGCATTCTTGGCATTTACGTTTTCTTTAGTCAACACAACCTCTTTTCTTCAACGAGTACAAGGATGCAAATATCGCCCCAACCAGATTTTACTCCCCTTGCAAGTTTAATGTCGTGGCAAAGACATTCTACGTGGAATTCATAATACTAATTCACACATAGAAGGTCTCATATAAGGCCTCGAGCTTCAAGCTTTGTAATAATGTTAATTGTCTTTGTCAAAAGCTGTGATGTGTCGAACTTCCGACGGCTCGACATGAGATGGAGCCATATTAAACGGGTATAAAAGTCTGACGGTGATCCTGGATGGAGGTTCCAAGGATACAAACTGATACAATGGCCCTCGAAGATGTCATTTGGGAGTCGGCTTCCAAATCTGGAAGACGATTTGGAGGTCGACTGTAATTTGAAGAATATTTGGTCATTATACACTGAATGCATTAAGTACAACTCCTTGATAGTTATAGCCTCGAAGGGAGCAGGCATGAAGGAAGGAAGATCGGACGAAAAGAGGGAATTGTTGTTGTCAATCCTCTTCTTGCTGTCAACATCCCCATGCTGAATTTTACCTCGAGGCAGGTAGGTGTATGACTGCAGCGATATTGACTACAACCAAAGGGCATAGAAAACATGGGGCGGGTAACGTGGTTCCGCCTCTTGAAGTAGTATGACTTTGCCTGTGTTACTCTCTGAAGATGGATCAAGATTGACTCTGTACTGTGGTGAGAGAAGGATCCGACAACCGAGTAGAAATATTTACATCTCTCTATTAGGACCCCCACTTTGAGGACTTCCCAAGCTCGGAAATTCCATGTAAAAAGTGAATCTCTCTAAAGGAGAAAAGCCAAACAGAGACTGGTTGAATGTTCCAGGGTAACTCAGAATATTGAAAATGGAACTCTCCTTGGTGAATCTCTCTTAGGGAGATAAAGTTAAGAAATTACGAGCTGATTGTGCCAGGGCAAGGTGGAACATTGGAAAAGGGATTTGGCACAAACTCGAAACTCCTTCCACCGTGTAGAACCCTGAGCCCACTGTTGCGCAGAAATTTTGATACTCTTCGCTTGAAGCTCCCCTCTCACCTCACAGTCTTCTCTTCCCAACAACTCACTGCACTCACTCACTTTACAGAAGCAGCAAACCAAACCACGAATGCCAAGTGCAGCAATTCCCTTCCCTACTAGCCGCCTATAATACAAGCACAGAAGCCGCCCACTTACCGCCGTAAAGCAAGCTGTCCGGCACCCAAGAAACCCAGCGCTCATTTTATGCTCCTTTTCTTCCCCGTCCGTATCCCACACTCAACCTGCAACTCTCCACTCTTCAAATATTTCCACTTCTACCTCTCTCCATTTGCCCAACTACCTTCTGGACGCAGCACATCTAGCTCGAAAACTTCCTCGTAATCTTCGCAATGACTTCGCAAACCCCAAATCAGCCTCCCTCCAGGAACAAGTTCAAAGTAACACCAGGGGAACTCACTATGCAACGCCACAACACTGAAAATAAACACCAAGCTCAGTACAAGCACAACTACCGGATCAACCTTAAGTCCCGGGCTCTCGTCCGTATACAGCCTCAACATCGTGCTGCTGCTTCCTCCCGCGCCCGCCGCTCTCGTAGATGACGGACGAGCATTGGCAAGCTTGTCTTTCTGGTCGGCTGCTGCGCGCCGACGGATCGCGGTCTTGGGTCCGCCGGGGGGTGTTGGGGAGCTGGGACGCGCGGAAGGTGCGCCGGGGGAGTTGACGGGGGAGGAGGAGCGGGGCGAGGACTATTTTGCTATTCATCAGTTCTTGTCCTTGAAGCGTTGCTTTGGGGAGAAGGGAAGCTGGAGAGGAGGGCACGAGGGTGGAGAGGGGAGTTCAAGGCGACGCACCATCTTGACGATTAACGGGCCTGAGGAAGAAGTGAAGACTGAGCACGAGCGATTGATCGGCTTCGAAGGAGAGGAAGGTGTTTGTACGTGGTCGTGTGTGAAGTGCAGTGGTTGCGATTGCGTCGGCTCAGAAATTGTGAATTGAGGCCAGATGCATTCCATCGAAAGGAGGCTCGGTAGCGAGCAGGGATTGGGCGCGCTAGTGGGGCCAGGATGTGATGGGATGAATCCGGGGAGCTTCACTTCACTTTTCCGACTTCACTTTATCACCGCAAACTCAGTGAGGTGAGAAGTGATACTGTCAGATTCGATTTAAAGGTCACACTCGTAGGAAGAATCATGTCTCAAATGAGATTTTTCAAAACGATGCTAAAAACATCGCCACCTATTTTTATCGCTGCTCTCACGAGCATAAACCTCTGGTTTGTTACAGGAAGCGGATCTCGAAATCGCGATCTTGATCTGCTCTCGCGCCTACATGTGCGCATGCTATGAAGTAGAAGAATAAACAAATGAAAAAGCACTCTTCCTCGCTGTATGCTTCTCTTCCTCTCCATCGGACAAGAAAATAAAAGACGAGACAGCGACAAGCTGTTCTGTAATGATTTCCGAGGCTGACTCGATAAATCTTCAATTCCAAAAGCCTCTCGAAGCTTCTCCAGAGTATCACGCTTCTTTTCCTCCAATTTTGATAGCCCGCTCAAATTTCCCTCCATCGATCTGCGCAAAAATGAAGACTGCATCTGGACTCGCCAGATGGGAAGCCGATTATATAGATTAAACAGTACATTCTACAATGGAACCAAAGGTATCAACCGAAACGCCATCCGCTATGATAGCAAGTTTATGCTGCATGCAGGATCGCACTAGTAAGATTGCTTCAGAGGGCGACATCAAGGACTAAGCTGACATCGCGCACCTGCGAGCCCGCTAAGTCTTCGAGAACCGGAATCAGGTCGAGAAGCTCGTTGTCATGCGCATCAGAGAACCAACTACTGATCGGTACGGCGTGTTGAGGGTGGAAGATGTAGGATGTTGGAGAATTGTCGATGATGATGGTTTCTCGGAGATCTCGTCCAACCTGGGAAAGGTCTTTAACGTAATTTCCTTGGTGGTTGTAACAACTTTCACGGAAGAGGCGGTGGTGAACGACGTGGTGGATATCTAATTGATCCAGAAGAGGATCACCGTACTAGGAATGGTCAGCACATGACATTTAGAGTGATATTTCTGCTTACCTTCGACACAGAAGCTGTGAAAACGACAACCTCGTAAAGTTCGCCAACTCGCTTCATGAACTGGTCCACACCAGGCCGCTTGATCACATAAACATTGTGATATTGACCCTCAATTTCAACAGGGATTGTGAAATCTGCTTGGTGTAAAATCTGGACGAATCAGTAAAATGTAAACCAAATGTTCCAACTAAACATACCTTAAAACTACTGTGGACCAAAGTCTCATCTAGATCGAGAACAAGACACTTCTTCCCCTGGAATCTTGGTGCGATCGGTGGCAGTAGCCATTTTTGCCCCTGGTCCGCAGGCTCTGGTGAGGTAACATCTTCGCTGGGCCCAGGAGGAGGGGATGATGGTGGCGGTGGCAGAACGGGTCTGGCAGTCTCGGTTTGTCGAGTAACGGGAGCAGCGGGTTCAACTTTTTCTGTTGGTACAGGGTCCGAATCTACCATTTTCACATCCCCCTCTGCATCTTTCGCCTCCTGTGATGGGACTTGCGCAGATGAAGAAGCCCTCGTCGATGGGGCTCTTGCCGGCGCTTGTACTACGACCGAAGGACTCGGCTGTCCAGCTTGAGGAGCAGTTATTTCAGCTTCCTGTGGCAAAGCAGGTAATGGTTGATCACGTGCATCCCCTGATAGTCGATTCGCATCGCCATTGACAACTGCTCCTGATTGCAAAGTCCGACCCAGGTCCAAGCTCGGAGCCTCGTTCTTCTCTCTTTCTGGCTCGGCTTGTCTAAGAGCCTCCTTTTCGCTTTGAGGTGGCGCCGGAGCATTAACATTGTTCGTCGATCCTTGCTCTGGTCTACTCGCGGTTGTTGGTCGTCCAGAAGGCACTTTCGAAATCTTGTTCGCAGGTACCGCTGCATCATTCGGGTCGGACGTATTCGCACTATCCGGAACCCCACAGCACAAGAATGATAAGAACCCCTTCTTATGAGGCTTCTGAGATGTTTTGGCGCCCGCAGTTGCTGGAATTGTGCTTCCTGCTGGTCCCGTGGAGGGGCCTTGTTGTGTTACCGACATCTTGCTGCTTGTAGCACTCCCATTCCGCCTCCGACCCAAAATGCTTGACTTAGACTCCTTCGATCTCCCACCGATGCTCTCTCTGGGGTCACTTGCAGTTGCTCCACTTAGTCCTGTTGACGTTGGAGATGGCTGTATCTTGTGCGAAGAGGATCTGGATGGGACGTGAAGAAGGCCGCGGTTCTTCTTGGGGACCTCTGGGGCCTCGTCAGCTACCCGAAGATAGTCCTTCTCGTTCTGTGACCCTGATAGAACTGGAGTCTCGGATCCGTCAGTGCTGGCAGTGTTTTGTGCAGTCGATGTGGTTTGAGTTGACGAGCTGGGAGGATGAGGCGTATTGGTGACTGTGTCGCACATTAGCTCTTATCTTCTCCGAACCTGCGCCTCGAAGCCTGGCGCATCCAACTGTTCTACACATCCAATAGAGGAAGTAAAAGGGGCGGATAACGTACAACTCGAGGTATCCAGCGCAGGCGGCTTCGATCCTTTCCCACCCTCTACTGAAGCTGAGCGGCGAAGGTCTTGCTCCGTTGGCTGCGCAATCTCATTACTCATCGAGGGCAATGTACGACCTTTGCGAGGCCACTGGTGTTGGAAGCCGTGGTGGTCTTCTGCTCTTTCTCTTTTGCTGATCTATCTCAACGCGTCGATGGCGGTGGAAGGTGTAGATTGGACGGGACCCCTGATGCGGCTTGGCTAAGGTCGGATGAGTCGCGCGACACGAGCAGACAGCAAGCAATTGTCCAAAAGGCGCGCAGGTTGATGCGACAATTGATGCAGGGTCTGGAGGAGAGCTCGACCGCTTGGGATAGCACACTGAGAGCTTGTGGTGATGGGGGAGATCGAAGAGAGAGGCTGAGCGCCTGAGCTTGCGGGAGAAAGCAATCTCGGCTAAGCAAGCGAATCAGATCGAGCAGATACCGGCTGCGGCGATTAAGTAAGCCGTCCTGGGCGGTGTTTGCGAGTGCAGAATATATCAAGGGACGTCAGGTCAGAATTGGAATAAATGAAGCTATTGATGTGGCAAAGATGGGAACCTTGATTGCACGAGAAGGAGCGTCGGGGGTTGAGCAAGCAGGTCAGGTCAGGTCTGGGAAGGCGCGTCTGGATAGGTTCGGGGCCGGACCGGCTTGGTATTGGGACAGGAGAGGAGCTTGTGCTGCGTTCTGGTGAACGGCTGGGAGACTGTCCAGTGTCACTACGAGGATACTTCATCATGCAGCAAACGGCTCGTCGGCCTCCATCTCCAGGCCAAACCTCGCCTTTCCACGCGCTGCAGCGTCTGTCTGCTCTCAGTCCAGCCCCCGTCTCGACCTGCATTTGCCCATTGGAATAGCCGTCCATTCGTGCACCCATTTGCCAGCCACCCCGTCTGCTTGCCCGCTGGGGGCGAATGGGATTAAGCGCCCTGGCTTTCCACCACACTGTATTCATCCTATCAAAACCATTTGACCCCAATCGAAACCCTCCCCCTCAGGGATGGAGCCCGGGTGCCCCCTTTCAGGTCCAGCTTGATTCCATTTACCCAGATGCAGCGGTCCCTTTGTGAGGTTATTCGTAATGCACACTTCTCCACAGACAAGCGCCTGTTCTGCGCTTACGAGTCAACGATGCCCCCTCTGATTGAGACATAGTGCCGTAGGGCTCACTCGGAGGCTGGAATTCGATGTAGGGCAGAAGAAGTTGCAACTGATCCACAGTCTGATTGACCGAAGACCAGGATATAAATAGAACCTGGGATGACCTTGGATGACCTAGGATTCCCCAGTATTTGGTTAGGGAGAATTGTCACACCGGCCGCCCCCGGTACCTGCTTTACGAATGAACCTCCTGTACTCCGTAAAACCCTTCCAAAGCACCTCATTCAAGACATTCCTTTGACGTTGAGGGTCGGAGGTCCAAACCACCTCGACCTCCACCCCAGCGGCTACCGTTCGGCCTATCGGCAGGCCGCCGTTGACGAGAGACATGCCTTCGAGCCGGGATCAAGCTGGAACTATTTGGAACCAGCCTCCTTCTCTATTTCCTGCTTCTCAGATTTATACGCGCTCGAATTCCTGGGAGGGAAGCACGCTTGCTTTCGCCGTGGGGGTTGCGTTTGAAGGGCTAATCTGCGCATTGATTCACACGCAGAACGTTGCGCGCGTTTGCCAGCTATGTGCTGTGCTCTACTGTACTCTACTTTGCCGGCTCACCACATTGGATCGCCTCCTGGCTGCAGATTTGGCCCGTCTCGGTTGGCTGCCGAAGGCCTTCAAGAAAGGGTTTGAGGAGGCGACTTGCAGGAAGCTAATCAAGCCTAGAGTAGCTGGGAAGAGAGCTGGGAAGGGGCGAGGAATGGGGTCAATTGTTCTTTACTCGAGGTGGAGAAAAGGAGTGCATGGGAATCTGATATATCGACTTCGGAACCCTGAGAAATGAGGGGCCACGGACCGGACCTTGCTTTTTCCAGATCGATTTTAGGAGGGGATCTGAATCATCTGCTAATGGAGTGTAACGTGATTCACAGTCACATGACGCCAAGCTTCCACATGCTTGCAACCTCGGCGCTCCTTCCCCAGATTTTGCCCATCACATGCTGCAACAACACCTAAGCCACCACCTGGTAATGATGGTGCTTTTGCTGTGTCTAGATTCCCACGACTGACGGCCTCTACGATATTCAATGATATGAGCGCAACATCGGAATCATAGGGAAACGGGTTACGAAGCTGGATTGGAGAGCCAGGAACACAAGTCGGCGGACGACATGACCATGTAGGGACAAATCAACAACAACCAACTCTGCGAATTCGGCCATCCAAAATCACAATGGCCTCTCAATCGACATTGCGGAATGCTGCGGATCCGTTGGCAATGTTTTATCACCACTATGCCGACCTCCTCCGTCAGCGCCTGAAGGGCACATCGAGAACCACACGACTCATGGGCACACTCTTCCTCGCCATATCAATAATAGCTGCAGGCGAAGGCGGCAGACGATGGTGGAAGAAGCGGAATGCAGAGAAAGAGCAAGGCCGACGGCTACTGAGAAGGAATTCGGGATTGAAGAATAAAGATGGCTCGAGGGTCATCTTCGTTCCTTACAAGGACTCGACTTCGAAAGTTACGATACACCCTACGAAGGCGCTGACTTTTGATGCCCATCGAAGACTTTTTCTAAATCCGCCGAGAGCCTCCGGACTGTCCGATGGCAGCACTCCTCAGATCCCGCCTCCCCAGACGAAGCCCGGGCTCAACTTGGCCTTCTTACACCAGTTTCTAAGTCTGTTGAGTATAATGATACCGAGATGGACGAGTAAGGAGACTGGGCTGTTACTAAGTCATGGGGTATTTTTGATGCTAAGGACATACCTGTCTCTGGTAGTGGCTAGATTGGACGGTGAGATTGTGCGGGATCTTGTTGCTGGAAATGGTAGAGCGTTTATTTGGGGAATCATCAAGGTGAGCTTATCTCTTCCATATTTCCGAGCATTTCTGCGACCTTGTTTCTATTCCGGATTTCGAGAGCCTCTTTTCTATGTTGGTGGATATCCTATTGCAATTCTCATCATGCTCTCGACTAACTTAGACAGTGGTGTGGCATTGGCAGTCTTGCTTCATACACAAACGCCATGATCAAATTCCTCCAATCGAAAGTCTCAATTGCCTTTCGAACACGCCTCACAAGATACATTCATGATCTATACCTGAACGACAACCTCAACTATTACAAATTATCGAACCTTGACGGGGGAATTGGGCAAGGTGCAGACCAATTCATCACCCAAGATCTGACACACTTCTGTGCGTCAGCTGCAAGCCTCTACTCTTCGTTAGGGAAGCCATTCGTAGACCTTGTTGTCTTCAACTACCAACTATATCGGTCTCTTGGTCCTCTCGCTTTGACTGGATTAATGAGCAACTACTTTTTGACAGCAACAATACTTCGGAGATTATCTCCACCGTTTGGAAAGTTAAAAGCAGTCGAAGGTCGCAAGGAAGGTGACTTTAGAGGCCTCCATGCTCGTCTCATTGCCAATGCCGAAGAAGTGGCATTTTACGGTGGGGCGAATATGGAGAAGAACTTCTTGGATAAGGAGTTCAAGAGTCTCAAGAAGTGGATGGAGGGTATTTATACCCTGAAGATCCGTTACAACATCCTGGAGGATTTTGTTTTAAAATACAGTTGGAGTGCTTACGGATACCTTCTGAGTTCCTTGCCGGTGTTTTTGCCAGCTTGGGGTGGTCTTGGAGGCATTCAAGAATTGGCGGATGCCTCGATAACTGGAGGCCGAGAAAGAGGACGGATGAAGGAGTTTATCACGAACAAACGACTCATGCTCTCACTAGCTGATGCTGGCGGACGAATGATGTATTCCATCAAGGACCTTTCCGAACTCGCTGGTTACACCAGCCGTGTCTATACTCTGATCTCGACACTTCACCGAGTTCACGCGAATGCGTATTTCCCACCTCGGGGTACCCACGCCGAACTTTATTCTCTGTCGGACGTTCAAGGCACTATTCAAAAAGGCTTTGATGGTGTGCGCCTGGAAAATGTTCCTGTTGTTGCGCCCTCCATTTTCCCTCATGGAGGTGAAGAGTTGATCGAATCTCTCTCCGTGATTGTCCACTCTGGAGAGCATCTTCTTGTAAGTCCCGCTCGTCTCTCCATTTCCGTGTCTATCCTAACATTCTACAGATCTCCGGCCCGAATGGGGTTGGCAAAAGCGCCGTTGCCCGCATAGTGGCAGGTCTCTGGCCAGTTTACCGGGGGTTGGTCTCTCGACCACGTTCCGTTGGGATGGATGGCATCATGTTCCTTCCTCAAAGACCATATCTCAGCGTTGGAACACTTCGTGATCAAGTCATCTACCCACACGGCGAAATCGAGATGCGGGAACGAGGACGACGAGACATCGAGCTCAAGCACGTCCTCGAAGAAGCCCGGCTTGGCTACCTCCCCGACCGAGAAGGTGGCTGGGACACCCGCAAAGAATGGAAAGACGTTTTGAGCGGAGGCGAGAAACAACGAATGGCAATCGCAAGACTACTTTACCACGAACCTCGCTATGCGTTCATTGATGAGGGCACCTCAGCAGTCTCTTCCGACGTTGAAGGGCTTCTCTATGAGCGCTGCAAGGAGAAAGGTATCACATTGATTACAATCAGTACCCGAGCAAGTCTGAAGAGATACCACACGTTCAACCTCACCCTCGGGCTCGGCGACGACGGCAGCGAGTGGGAATGGGAACGCATCGGCACGGAAAAAGAGAAGATGGGCGTCGAGAGAGAACTCCAAGAGCTCCGCGAACGCTTATCCAAAGTCAAAGAATGGGAAAGTCGAAAGGAAGAGATCGAAGCAGAGTTAAACAAAGTCTGGGTCGAAGGCGGCGAGATGTTGGACGGTCCTGTTTACCTGGAGGAGCAGAAGTCCGTTGAGCAGCCGCAACAATAACAGCAATCTCCCCTAATTCTGTCCTGAATACGATAGATAAGCTAGATGAGATAGAAATTTATTCCTGCCTTACAAGCAACGATTTCATTTGCACTTCAATTCCACAAATCTCTCGGGACGCTCTGTACCGAATTTCATTCCCCGATATTCAGATGAGACGCTTCTTCTGCTCGCGTTCAATTTTTCCGAAACCCCCTCCCCGTTTGTATTTAAGCACCTACCCCCAATATCAGCCGTAAGGCCCGTCCGTACTGGTACATGAATCGCATCTATCTTTCTCCCCGCACCTACAAACCCCCGCGCCAATCAGACACTTCATATTTCTCATCCCCTCGATAGAGGTCCTTTGGACCTGCATTTTGCCGAATAACACCCACCTCAAATCCTCCGCATGGAACATGGATTTCGCCATCCAGGAGATGGGAGGTAGATAACCTGAACCTTAGCCTTAGCGACAGGGGTGGATTCACGGCTATCTTCGAGTTTTTCGGGGTTGGAGGGGACATATGTACAACTATCCCCCTCCAGTGAACCCCCAAGGATGACCGTTTCTTTTCTTAGATCCTAGACTTAAGGATCTTGGCTCCTCCCTTAAACAAGAGTCAAAAAGTCTTGTTTGTCTCTAAGCGATGAAGCTCACCACCCTTCCTCTCCTTTGGGAGAGAGGGGGGGGGGCAACAACAAGAAAAGCTGGAGTTTGAAGGCTCAAGATTTGAGATCAAAAGGCTAACAAACCCAGCAAATACGGCCCACCTCCCGAGATAACCGGTATCTTCACGCAAACCCCCATCGCAGCAGGAACCTACTCGGATGGCAAGACCTGGCCCTACGTCTTCCTGTGCAGCAAGTGCATCGCGACCGACAGCACCACGTTCGCCGCTGCCGATGTACTGAGGCCCAGCATATCTCTTTCTCGTGCCAGGTTGCCCTCCCTCTTGGCTTTGGTCATTGGGTTCAGTCTCACTATCTGTGACAACAGTGAGTTGGCAGACGATGTTATGGGGGAGGTAATAGACTGACCAGCTTTTAATATCGCAAGATATCTAGCGCTTTGCAGGTATGAAGAAGACCAGGATAAGGAGGGTGGTTGAGGTACCAGCGAAGAGAGAGGGCGGTGGCAATTCTTTTCCGGTTGCTTCTGCCGAAACCATTCAGGGAGAGCAGGTTGCTCTTGCTCACTTCTTTGCCAGTGTTTTTCTGATTCTGCCGCCCCACTAATACACGACGGAGTTTTGTTGATCTGAGGGAGGGATGTCGAGGGAGGATCGAGTTTTGCTTCTCCGTAATCAGTAGCTGTATTTATTTCTCGGTAGCATGTGAACTTTGGTTCAAACATAGCCTCGGATCATCGTGAAGTGGGTTCTCTGGCAGGGGCTCGTGTGTGGATGACAGTGCGTTATGAAAGAGTTGTGAAGCGGAGCTTGATGGGTTAGGTCGCGAACGCTTATATGAGTAGTGATCAAGAGAAGGAAAGTTCCAACTGTGGCTATGGTGGCTGCGATATCTCTTCGATAGGGCGATGTTTGAGCATGAAGCGTAGGGAGGGGTTGTATGCGGTAACAAAACTAGCTCGTGTCTTGAGGCTGCTTGTTCTTGCCCCAGGTCGTCGATAGTGGACTGGTTCAGTTTGTTCTATACTCGAGTTTCTCGTTTTGGCACTCTGTATTTAATCAGATTCTAGTTTCTATGCCTGAGATTAACTCGCCTTGGTCTGCTCCTGTTAGATTTTATATTGAATGGTCTTGCCTCCGACTTCGACTTGATAGTTAGAGAGGACATACTGTCTGGCTTTCTAGTTGGCAGTTTAAAAGAGTTGATTGACTGGAGGAAACTAGTTTTCCTCCCAACGGTGAAGTCGAGCTATCCTCCGCATGTAATCCTCCAATGGGAGGTTCGCTGAAACCGAGTCTTTTCTCTCTTCCGGGTTAGGACCTCAGAAACTGGGGTGTGGGGAATCGGGCATTTTATCTCTCTAAATTGCTAAGGGATCCGTGCTTTTAGAACCCCCTGAATATGGACTCGAATGCGGACCGAGGCAACCTGGCTACCAACCATACTTGCTTCTTCAACTTCTAACCAATCCACCTAACTCCCCCCAGCCCATTTCTCATGAATACCAATAGAGGGATAGCTGCTTCGGCCCGCCAGCCACATTACACGGCTACATCCCATTGCGATGTGCAACAAATTGTGGAGGAGCTATCCACCTCAAGCATACTAGTTACATGTGAGATCCCTAGACCCAGGGTCATCAGACCGGAAATCGTGTTACAACTCAACGCCCAACAATCCAAGCACCCCGCACTCCACCCTCTTCCTTAAGTTTGGATCCGAGAATTCTTCGTCCACGAGGGATTGATTACTAGGGCACGGCAATCACCGCAGTATTCATCTCTGTGTTTCTTATTTGGTGTATTAGATACCTGCGAATTGATTTCAACGTACCTAAACTCGATCGCCACAACACTAGAGGGGCAGCGTTTATAGGTTGTCTCGTAGTTAGTACACCATGCTCGAACTGTGTAGCGGATGTGGTCGCAATAGAATTCGACTTGTGTATAGTCGCATATTACCTGAAGCTAGAGGTATTTGGTGGAATGTTAATAAAGTCGTTGGTTAATGACTAAGGGAGTTCCTACTTCCTTTATACTTTCGGGATGCAATATTTGTAAGGGGGGTTTGGGAGAAGAGCTTGGCGGCTAGAATGAGGTGAAATTCAGCGAACGAATCAGTTTCCAATATGTTCAGTGATGAGAAAGTGGGACGTCTGTTTGATAGGAAACGAAGACTCAAATACTAATGCTCGGGTGGTCCCAGGAAAGCTAGGGGAAAAGTTACGAATACTACTATGAACCATAAATTGGATGGTTATAAAACAGCAGAGATGACTACAAATAGGACATAAAGTGCCGCCATTAGTACAGTTATATGGAAGATAATGTTGCCTCCTTCAATCAGTGCCATTGCTAGCCGGCTCCCGCACTGCTCTCGCGGTCGCGGTGTTGGTATCTGAGCGGTCTATACGCTTTCGGGGTATCGCTGTCTTCATATTTGAAGAATCCTACCTTCCATGTGGCTATTACCTAACACAGTGATCTCTTACCTACAGATCCTCCAAGCAATTCTCACTCTTTATATATCGCAGCACCAGAGAGAGAGAGAGAGAGAGAGATTGGCTCTATATATCTCTAGCCCCTTACTAAAATTCTGCTGTATATTGTTAGGACTAGGCTTAAAAGGATGGTTCGGCACCTCGATAAACTAACATTCGGGCAACTAATCATCCATGTACCGCCCGGCGCTCTTCTGAATGCATATACATCGCTGTGAGCTGGGACGGCCATGGTGAGAGGGACTTTGAGTCCAGAGGAAGTTATTTAGTATATTAAGTCTTTAAAATTTTAAGTTATTTTAAATAAGTGTTTTAAAAGTTAATAAAAGTACTCTTAACTACTCTTTTTATCAAGAAAAAAGCCATTAAATTAAAAGTATACCATGGATTATAACTTAAAAGAAAAACCTAAAAAGAGAAGCCTAATATTAAGAAGTAAGAAGTAGTTTTGTACTAACTTCACTTAGTAGATACGCGACTAAGTCACATCCTAGCATTGTTACAGCCTCTAGCGCTGTAACAATGCTTGTTTTGTTTGCATTGTAATATTCGAACCATTGATCGGCTGAGAATCCCCCGCAACATCAAAAGCAGTTTTGTTCTTACCGTTGACTTCGTTCACCTCTGCACCCCTCCTTAGCAATACTTTAATGACTTCTGGTCTTCCATATTGAGACGCCACATGCAACGCGGTTTGATGGTTAACTTTGCCCGACTTTGCTCCTTTTTCTAACAACAGCTCAACCGCTTCTGCACTCCCGCCTTGAGCCGCCAAATGCAAGGCAGTCAGACCTTCCTCGTTCGGATCCTCGAGATATGCTTTTCGGATCGAGTTCGGAAATTTGTCCAAAAGAGTCTTTATAACAGAAGTGTGCCCTTTGAGAGCGGCAAGGTGTAAAGATTCCTTGATGTCCTCGTTAATCAAAGACCTATTGCCCCCTTCGTGAATGGAATTTCTTTTTGCTAGAAGGTATATAACCGTTTCTGAGTGACTAGCTGAAGCTGCTAGTTTCAGAGGTGTCCTCTTTCTCTGATCCTTCTCTAGGTAATCGGCATCGTTTTCAATCAGCCAGCGAACTGCGTGTGTGTGCCCTTCGGAAGCAGCGCAATGCAAGGCTGTTCGGCCAATTTTATCCTGAGCCTGGATTGTATTTCTCTTGCCAAATAACATTTTGAGGATACATACTCGTCCACCAAGCGCTGCCCAGTGTAGTGGCGTCCTCTCTCGATGGTCATGGGCTATTATATGGTCAGGTATATTCATAAAAAATTCCACCAAACTTTTGTGTCCGAAGTATGATGCAACCATAAGGTTTGTAACACCTGAAGGGACCATTATGGAAAAGCGCCAGCCGTTTCCGTAGTCTGACTCGATACGAGCCTAATCTTGCACATAATTCCACCAATTTTCAATGGTACAAGACTTAGAATCAGGCATGTAGAGGTATGCTGCTGAATCGCAAAGATCTTTATAAAGAGCTTTATCACGATCTTTATCCGAATTCTGACAGTATTGCAAATGAATAGTCCAACTTTTGGCAGCGTGCTGCTCAAAACCCCACTTTCCTCGGGCTGACCACTTCGTTACATAAGTCGACTTAGCAAAGTCATCAAAACGAAAGAGTTCTTACTTCATTCTTCCTGTCGGACTTGTCTTGCATAAACGGTGTATTATTAACAAGGATAGGACATCGCAGAAGCTCGTTTGAGGATACGAGGTAAGAGTTAGGGTTTGGAAGGGAGTTTATTGTGAATAATAGAGGAGGAAATATTATGTCAAGCGTATCGCAATTGAAATGCACGTCTAGCCAGCTTGGAATGAAATTCTCACTCGCCTCCCCTCTTCTACTTGCTGCTGGACCCTATAGCACGCCTATCCCATACTATCACATCACCATCATCACCGCCTCCTCAACCGCCCCCAAACCCCCCTCTCCTTCTTCAACCCCGGATTACCCCTCTCAACATTCATCTGCACCATCAGATCCGTCCCCTCCGGCTCTGGGGGTCTCCTAACCACAAACCCCGCGTCCCCAGACTCCCCACTCGTCTCCAATCCCCTTGGCCACGGCAGCACAACCTCAACCCTCCCCGCCCTCACCTTCCTCAACGGCTCCAACAGCACTTGCTCCGGCACTCTCACTCCCAAATCTAGAATCTCGACAACTAGGGCGCGGACCCGCAGGCGGGCGAAGGCGCGCCAGAAAGCTTCCCACTCGGCTTCGTCGGCCTTGGGATTAGTGTTGGCGGCCGTGAAGCCGATGGGCCAGGCGCGGGGTGGCAGGTACATAGGGCTGGTGAGGGAGAAGGAGAGATGGAAGTGTGCGAGGGCCATGTAGGGGGCGGGGACGGTGGCGATGAGTTGTGTGGCGGCGCTGATAGGGAGGCGAAAGGCGGCGGATGAGTAGATGAATTCGATGAATTCGAGGTAGCTATTGGGCCGGGTCAGCTAGAGCAGTAGTGTACGGCATGTGTTATGTAATGGGCGGGGCTCACGTCTGTCTACAGCTCAAGAGCAGTGGTACTATCTCCCGGCCATTTTGTACGCTCTTTCGATAGGCGGTATCGTACGGCATACAGACACCGTTTCTAGCGCTCTGGGTTTGGAAATAGATGTGTGAAGTTGGCGACGCGCAGCGCATGTGTGTCAGTTTGTTGTTGGAGAGGAGGATGTGTTGGACGCTTCCGTAGGAGTGGAGAATGTGGGCGTAGATTTGACGCTGGATCTCGAGAGGGAGGGTGCTGAGGAGCTGGGAGTGGGTTTGTGCGTGTGGCGGATGGCGGCTGGGGGTTAGTGAGTGTGGGTGTGAGGGTGAGGCGGAGGCTCGTGAACAGAGGTTAGTGAACCATGATTTAAGCTTTAAGGGGTAGTTCCGGGCTGCTGTTGCGGAGTCCTTGCGCGAAGGGGACGAGGACGAGGAGGCTCGATCAGGCATAAGAGACGTACTATAGTAGTGGCTTGAGAGTTTCAGGGCTTGTAGTCAACGCATGGGATTAATGCTGCAGTGGCTCTCTATATACAAGAAGGTTCAATTTCAGGGGAAAAACTAAAACGACCCTCCCCCCTCCACCCCTCCCCCGGTGTCGATTAGGGGTGTCGATGGGGGCCACACGAACCGAAATCAGCAGGCGGTGGCAGGTGCCCGTATACATTACTTTATATGCACTAATGTATGCAGATCAATATATACTGGCACCCAGTGCGCGCATTGCATTCTCTGAATAGTACGTCGTTGTCGTCGTTTCCGGACAGATTCGGTTATATCGCAATTAGTCAAAAAATAAGGGTCTTATAGGCATATAGCAGTGCTTATTTCTTCTTAACCTCTTATAAACCGGGAAAATGTAAAGCGATACCTTCCAGGATATTAATATGGGGTATTAATTAGGGATGTCGATTAGTAATATTATTTGGGGGGGAAGGGGGTATCGAAGAGGGGTGTCGACCTCAAGAGAGCCTGAAAATTTCGCGATTAACGAGTAAGCACCTGGAACTTTTGCCTCGTGCGCAATAATTACCTAGGCTCTCTTATGCTCCAAAACTAAAGCTCTTATATATAAATTTCCTTATATCTATATTAAGAAATCTGACTCGAGAGAAAGGCTTAAGACAAATAATGAATTAGGCATTATTAAAGCTCTAAAATTTATTAATACTTCTACTCGATACTTGGGGGGGGGGGGGGCGTCGTTTTAGTTTTCCCCCCAAAATCCTGCCCTATCCTAGGAGCCGCAATTATCCAGTCACGTGGAAACCAATCCACCCTGCAACAATATAGAAGATGGGTTTGCACTTTGGCTATTCTGGTCATCTCTATGCTCTATGGCATCAATATCTTAATGATGATGTGAGTCCAGACATTGACTTCTGTTCTGGTGTTTGTTAAGAGATTTCGAGGTCGCTTTCGACTGTTCATTCCTACATGGCACAATTGATTCGCACCTCATTCATAGAACTCATACAATGACCGGTACGTGTAGCGTTTACTTTGACTTTGACCTAGACTTTGTTTGACTTCTTGGGGCACAAGTCTTCTCTCGCCTAATCCGTACCTAGCCTGGAAAAGCACTCTCGAGAAGCAAACCATTCCATACCGTGCGTGTCTGTCCTTGTTAATGGATACAAAAGGAGTGTGCCCCTGCCAATCCCTGTAACATCCCTGTTTCGCTCGCGTAGCATTCCTAAAACATGGGTGTACGCCCAAAACGGCAATGACAGGAGGCCAACTCTGATTGAGGATACATAAGCACCCTCTCTGGGTAAACCCTAGAACGGGTGCTTATGCAGTTGAGAATTATATCCCCCTCTAGCCCCCTCCCCCTGCGTATAGTAAGTTAAATTCTGTAATTTTATCGTAAAGTAAGACTTTCTTTTTCGGCTGTTTTTTAGCCCGTAGCGTGCGCACAGAAGGTGAGCAAGACGCACGTCCCTCTGTGCCTTTCTTACCTTCGCTTAGGAAGTATATCCTCAAGGTATACGCTCCTGTGAGGCGCCGAAGGCGCCGAACGCCGTGCCCCTAGCCTACTAAGCTCCTAGTATTAGTAGAGAATATACTTTAAATATAGATGTGCTTCGTATGCAGATGTGCTTCGTATGCAGATGTGTCCCGTACGTAGATGTGTCCCGTACGTAGATATGTCCCGTACGCAGATGTGTCCCGTACGTAGATGTGTCCCGTGCCCCTAGCCTATTAAGGTCCTAATATTAGTAGAGATAAGCTTTAGAACTCCCAGAACTAGCGCTCTGTCTAGTTTTGACACAATGAGTTTGAAATGGGGGATAATCACACGAGCGTGTGGCTGCATTTCCAGGGACAACGGCCTGTGATCCTTATGTCTTAAGTTGGATACAGGCAAGATAGCAGAGTGCTCAATTACAAGATCAAGTCTGACCGAAATTTAGTCGTAGATCCTTTGAGTATTATGGGATATAAGGTCATTGCGATATTGCTCGGGTGGACTTGGCTCTTCCATCACCTCTGGATTCCCAAATATCCCTTCATACGCTTCGATCTCGCTTCATTTAAGCTTTGAATCCTCTATTCGGCGGCCTTTGTGTCTTCATTCATGCCACTCTCACACTGGAATATCTACCTGCGCCCTCCAACCCCCTCATCACCGTCGTTCACTTATCCACCTCGCTCCCACTCACATCCAATCCCCTCAAAATAGGTTGATACCCATAAAGCCACTTCAACCACCAAAGCCAGATATTGCTTGGCACATACCCAAACAGCAAACCCCTCACAATTCCTCCCAAGCCATACGGAAGTTGCGCCGAATAAAGACGACCAAAATCAGCTGAAAACTTGGCAATCTCTTGTGTGCGTTTCTCTCGGCGACTGCGGTATGCTTGTAGCGCTTCTTTGACCTTTTGAGACTCCGAGAAGATAGAATAAAGCGTGTTACCCAGTTCAGCTGCGTCTTCAATGCAAGCGGTGCCGCCTTGGCCGAACCACGGGGACATGGAGTGTGCGGCTATTTTGGGAAGAGTTAGATGGATATGAATGAGTGAGAGGGGAAAAGGGCTTGGGAGGGAATGGAAGGAGTTGGTGTGGTAAAGTATGAGATGATACGTACCATCTCCCACAAGGGCAACTCTGCTAACAGCCATAGGTGGATATGCGTACTCGGCGAAGATATTAGTTGCGAGCACGCGTTCAGCTTGATCCACGACTGCAAAAGAAGGATATTAGCAACCTTGCTCAACACAAAATCATCATCTCGAGGAACGCACTTTCGCCAAGCTTTCCTGTCTTTTTGGCAAAGGGATGTTCCTTCTCTCCGTGAACCTCCTTAATCATCCCCGGTGTAACACCTACCCAGACGCTGCGGTCCTTATCCGGAATCTCCTCACACTCCCTAATAGCAATAAACCACTGTCTATTATCTCGTCCACCAAACGTCATCATCACGCTATCATCGTAAAACAACCAATTCGCAACACCGAGCTCCTTTTCACCGAGTCCGGGCAAAGGATGGCTCCACCCAGACATGTGTACTCGTTTAGTAAACTTAATGGTGTTGCCTGCGTTTGCGTTGCCTGTCTCGCGAGCCAATGTACGTCGAACGGCGGATCGGATGCCATCTGCGCCTACGACGATACTGGCTGATAGAATGCGTCCATCAGCAAGATGTACGCTGACACTCTCATTCTCTGCATCTTCGACCACATCCTGTACCGCACAACCAAGCTGCACCTTCTCCTTCCCAGCTGCAGCATACAGAATCTGCATCAACTTCGCTCTTTCCACCGTAACAACCGGGTATCCATAAATCTTCTCACAGATAGTCCAGTCCAGCTCATTCCACAATTTGCCGTTCTGCGAGACCCTGATTCTTGTCATGGGCTGAGCGACGGCTTTGAGTGCAGAGTAGAGACCTAGTTGGTCGAGCACGGAGAGGGCCTGGGGAGAGAGAGAAATTGCTGCGCCTGCAGGAGTGAGGGAGGGGAGGCGCTCAAGGATGGTGTAGGAGAGGGAGAGGCGGCGGCAGATGGAAGCGAGGGTGAGGCCGCCTATGCCGGCGCCAACGATGACGACTTGGTATTGGGGTTTATTTGTCATTGTAGATAGTTGGGGGATGTAGAATTGAATATCAGGGAAATTGAAATTGAAGAATATGAAGAGAGATGATGGAAACTGTGTTGGTGTTGGTGAAGTGTTACAGAGCTGATCTTTTAAACTTGGCCATCTTCTTGGTATATTTGACTTGGTCTTCGTCGCCTATGTGGTCAGCTCACTTCTCAGCTCCGGTTTCCTCTTACGGCCGCACTCGGACTTAAAAAATATGTTGCGTCTGAAAATAGCCTCGAGGCTGAATCCTCGATTATTTATCTGGTACGCCGGCATATGTTCACGCTCGGGGAGTACAATTACAACAGTCTCAGCCTCAGCCTCAAATATGACCTGTATCTCAGCCACCATGCACAATTCTCCTCCCAAATCTCGGTTGATGGATCTGTGTTATTATACAAGGAGACTTCCCCTGAACCCTGCATGTCTGACTTGGCAGCGGCAAGCAAGTCGAAAACCATATGGATATCACACTGCATCCCGTGTTCCACGAAGCGGCGCTGTACATATCCAATACTGACAGATACGAGCGATGAATTCCAATTGCTATAAAAATAGCAGTGTATTCGAGAATAAAGCGGTGTTTGGCGATTCAATCCTTTTACGACTAAAGGTGGGAGCCGAGTAGAGCGCGAAGACGCAGATATTCCGAGACCTTCCCTTTGTCCTTGAGGAGACGCACGGTTTTCCTCAGATCAGTTTACTCTACCTTCTTCAGATCCAACTTTCGCTCAGTCTCCGATCGGGGTTTTTTATATTTTTTATATATATTTTTTCATCACATCACCGCCACAACACCACAATGTCGTTCATCAAGCCCATGCAAGGCTCCCCCGAGTCTTCTCTCACACCATTGTTCCTCATTCACGCCGTCTCCGGCCTCGCAAACCCATACTCTCGCCTCGGTCCTCTGACCAAGCCCTCCTTCGCTATCTCTCAAGATGAAGAGCGTATGGTCTACGGCATCTCCTCTCCTCTCTACACGCACCACGGCAGCTTCAAGGCACCTCGCACTCTCGAAGCAATGGCAAGGTTGTATGTCAACGCCATCAGAAAGAAGCAGCCATACGGACCATACCTCCTTGGCGGCTGGAGCATGGGAGGGATGCTCGCTGTGAAAATGGCTGCGATCCTCATGGGCGAGCATGGAGAGCAAGTCCTGAAGGTGGTAGTCATTGATGGCGCAAATCCAGAGAAGCTGCCGCCTATGAGCGGAGAGGAGCAGAATGTCATGGGCGATGAGATATTCGCGCGGAACTTGGCTTTTGCAGGTGGAAACAGTGGGAAGACCAGAGCCAGGTCGTTAGCAGTGCCAAGCTCCGGTGATTCTGCAACTAGCAGTGACTCAGAAGCCTCGACACATGCTTCCAGCCCGCTTGAGACTTTGCTGCTCAAGATACGATCGCATATCGCGCTTGGGCTGGAACTGATGTCATGTGTTGAGCAAGGAAGCTGGGTTCAGGTTGGTGACCCGCTAAAGACAAAGATGACCCTTGTCAAGTGCGTTGACGAGGCGTATCTTGAGGATGGCCAGTTTGGAGATAAAGGAGTGGGTGTGAGAACATTGATGGCTGAGGAGTGTATGGGTTGGAATGCTGATTGTTTTGACTCGCTTGAAGTTATTAAGCTGATTGGGCCGACGCATGATACGTGCTTTGAGGAGAAGTTTGTTGGGAAGTTGACGGATATTCTGGCTGAGTGTTTGATTGGTGTTCACTGAGCGCTTTTTTGTTGCTTGCTATATCTACTTGCGTGCGATGTATTGTGGGCCAGTAGATTAGATAGATAAAAGACTCAGTGTGCCTAACAGTGTACGCCAGTGATATGGGTAGAGCGTACTGTACCACTTGATATTACTACTATAATATCATATTGTATTGTCCCATATTGCACCACAACACTAAAGATATTGTTAATCGGAACACGTAATAAAGGACTACCTAAAAAGGTACAAAGTGGGTCTTAAAGGTTATATGCCGTCAGTGAATCAATCTTTATAGAGATTAGAAACCCTCCTCTACTTAACTATAGAGCACTATAGGGGGTAATTACTCTGAATGATTATAGAGAGTAGAAATAAACAGTAAATATATATAGCTTAGTGCGTTCTTAGTAGATCTCTATTACATAATCTATATATCTGTATATTTTTAGTATCGTATAATAATACAATAGCAAGCTTCATACTACTAATATCATATATAGCCATAATGTTACGCACCGTATCACACTTATATCTAGTACTACACGGGAATAGTGGGGCATACGGTTAGCACGTGAGGAACACTGAACAGACCATCGTCTTTGGTTCACAATTGTGCCTGTTCCCAGGATCCATGCTCTTACCCTAAGACAGCGCGGGCACCACAGTTACAAACACCGAACTGATGAATAGAAGTAAATCCAGCTAGCGCAAGCAGTGCTTAGGTTGGTTGGAGCTTTCCCGTTGACCGGGAGGATTCCGCATGGCGATGGTATGCAGCAGCATGGCGTTGCGGCGGAACTCTGTGGCAGCTGGGGTACCTTGGATCCGGCATCTCACCTCGTATTCCCTCAGTGAAGATGGTAGATACCATAGAATCCTCACAAATCGCACGCGCGCTTGGGTCCGGTTGGGTTTGTGTAGCAGTAAGCAATCCTCCCTTGTACCCGGCGCCCACCGTTGTAACTCTGAGTCTGATCCGCAGTCCCTGCAGCTGAGGTACCTTCGATCCCGCATCTCACCTCGTATTCCCCCAGTGAAGATTGTGGATACCATAGACCCCCGATTGGTTTTAACGGCCATTCGGCCGTACGCAGTAGAAATTTATCTATAGAGTTACACAAGGGCGGACTAATCATCACCGACAGAGGCGTTGTTGCAGGGATTATGCTAGACGCAAGGGGGTAGTACTTAATTCGAACGTTTCTAACTTCGTACAGTTCTTTGTTCTCATCGAATCCTTCTTCGATCATTCGGTCTCTGCATTTGTGTTGCCTTGTCTTGAATGAAGGAATTGAAGTGAAGTCCTGTCCTGCAAGCCGTATACGTGATTCGTCTACAAGCGAAACGGGTAGGTGCAGACGAGGTACCTGACAACCCTCTTTTAACTTCAGCTCTAAGACAACGTTCATCGCATTACCTTCAAAAAATTCCATACGTCTGTTGACAGTGCTGCAAAGGCTATCTGATCGCTTTCAACCCAATATCTTCTCAATTCCAATTCACAAAGCACCCCCAACATGGACCTTGACGCCCCAAAGACTGAGACGCCTGCTGTTGAAGTACAGATCCAACAGCTTGAGCCAGAGCCAGCATTGCCAACTCCACCGCCGGTAGGGCCGCCAGAGTCCTCTCCACGCTCTATTCTGGCAGCAATTGGTGGATTCTTTGTTTTCTTCACGACTTTTGGTACGTTGGAATATTCGCTCGATCTGTTGCAGATATTGAACATTTAGCTAACAATTAACAGGCATGCTCACGTCGTTTGGAAAGTTCCAATCTTACTACCAAACGCAATACCTTCGTGACACGAAGCCAGCAACCATCTCGTGGATCGGCTCAGTCCAATTCTTCACTCTCTTCGTCAGCGGTCTCCTTCTTGGCCCTCTCTTCGACAAATATGGCGCTCGTCGACTTTCTGTTCCAGGAACACTACTCTATGTCCTTGCGTTGATGTTGGCCAGTATCAGCACAAAGTTCTGGCATTTGTTGCTCACGCAAGGATTTATGCTTGGCTTCGCATGCGCTCTGCAGTGAGTTAGAATCCCTGGACTGTTGATATATATCTCGTCTCACGGAACGTAGCTTCTACCCCACAACGGCCTCCGTCTCCCAGCGATTCACTACCCACCGCGGCCTTGCAATGGGTCTCGTCGCAACCGGCTCTTCGATCGGCGGTATAGTCTGGCCGATAATGGTAGATAGTCTGCTAAAGAAAACCGGCTTTGGATGGACAATGCGCATCTGTGGCTTCTTCGCGTTGGCATTGCTCCTGATTGCGAATTTTCTCGTGTTGGAACTCAAACAACTGAGAGGAACGGCTGCGGCAGCAAGAGCGAAGATGCAAGCAGAAGGCACTGCACTGAAGTTCGCGGAGCCAAGATACGTTCTCTTCACTACTGGCTTCTTCTTCGTCTATTTCGGTCTGTTTATCCCGTACTACTATCTTCCCACCTACGGTATGGAGCGTGGTATGAGCAGCAGCATGGCCGCATACCTTGTGGCTATCCTCAATGCTGGTTCATTCATTGGTCGTGCAGGCATTGGTTATGCTTCTGATCGGCTCGGAAGGTTTGTATACAATTCCAAACTCCAGAGTATCAACTGACCATTTACAGATTCAACATGACTGCGGCATGTTCGATTCTTGCTGGTATCATTCTCGCCTGTCTCAATACCGCTACGCAAGCGCCTTCCATCATAGCTTTCGCAGTGTTCTACGGCGTCTTCTCGGGTGCCTTGTTGAGTCTACCACCAACCTGCCTTGCTCAAATCACTCCACATCCCAGTATGATCGGTGTCAAGCTGGGAGTTGCTATGGCTGTTTGCTCTCTAGGGTATGTGCACTCTTAGAGCCCAATGGAAAGGATATGTTAACACGCCTGCTAGATTGCTTACCGGAAGCCCAATTGGTGGCGCTCTCTTGACTCGAATGCATGGGGACTTCAGCGGGCTAATCGGGTTTGCGACATCGGTCATTCTCTTCGGATCTGTATTTGTGCTTGCAGCCAGATTCACTGCGGACAAGAAATTCCTCAAAGCATTCTAGGCTTCGGATACGAAGATTTGGTAAAGATTGTGGAAGGGAAATTCGCTCACAGGGAACAACATTAAGCAAAGATTGCTTCAAAATGGGATTCATGTACTTCCTAGCTTAGATTCTACCATCGGATTATAAATGTTGCTTTCACCACAAGACTTTTCAAAATGTGTGCAGGCCACTTGCCTTCTTAAAACCTAGTGTAGTAAAGCTATCTCGGCAAGTATTGGAGTCGTCAAAACAACTACACTGGGCAGCAAATCAAGCTCACAAATTGCTATCAAAAATGCAAGTAAGCAAGCCAAGAATAAATTACTCACTGATCCTGACTCCTGTCTGCGGAGTCACACATGGGAGCTGGATGTCTCACTTGATTCTATTTCTGGATCGATGTCACATTTTGCTTCCTTGCTATCTCCAGCATCGTGTCGGTCTTTCCGTAAGGCTGAGTTGCAGAGCAGGTACGGATCCTGCTTTCTAGGTACTGGATGACAGGAGAGACCTGCTACAAGGTCCTAACTGGACTCCTTCCAAAATAACAACGAGAAGGGCGCAAAGGTTCAGTCCTGAATTGTGCTATTCGACCGAGCTGATCGCCGAAGACGAAGGCTAAAATTGGAAGACGTATGGGGCGGATGGGGCTGTGAGGTATAAGGCTCAGACTCGGGGAATGATGCGATGGCATTAAGTTCCCTTATCTGGCATCTTGAAAGAGAGAAATGCTCCATACATTCTGCTTCGCATCCACATCTTTCTATCGTTTACCTTCAATTAAAATACGTTTAGACTTCTTCTTCTGAGATTATAAAAGCGCTTCTTACATTCTGCTTCACATAGAATTCTTCAAACATTTCATCCCAACCAAGCCTTACCCTCTTTCCTCCCAACCTATCCAGGAATCATGGCGCCCCCCACCAACACCCAAAGCCAAAATGACCCCACCGTCATCGTCGGCATGGCATGTCGCGTCCCAGGCGCAGCAAGCCCCTCTCAGCTCTGGGAAAACATCGTCCAAAAGAAAGATGTCCGGAGCAAGATACCTGAAGATCGATGGAGTGTGGATAATTTCTATCATAAGAATGGGGCAAACAAGGGAATTGTGAGTGCATTGAACTCAACTCTTACGCGAGAGAATTTCTATGACATTGAACTGACGAACTACAGACCAATGCCAAGTATGGCTACTTCCTCTCCCAAGACATTGCCAACTTCGACGCCGGATTCTTCGGCATCTCAGGCAAAGAAGCCGAGGCCATGGATCCGCAGCAAAGACTTCTGCTCGAGGTTGTCTACGAAGCGCTTGAGAACGCCGGTATCACCCTCAGCGAAATCAACGGCTCGAAGACGTCCGTCTTTTGCGGCTGCTTCACAAAAGACTACGACATGATGGTCGCAAAAGACTGGGACATGTATCCCAAGCACACAGTCACTGGAACTGGGGGTGCCATCCTCGCGAACCGCATCTCCTATTTCTACAACCTACACGGCACCAGCGTCACCATCGATACAGCTTGCTCAAGTTCACTAGTGTGTCTCCATTTGGGCAGACAAAGCATTCTGAATGGGGAAAGTGATATGAGCATTATTGTCGGCTCGAGCTTGCATTTCGATCCGAGGGAGTATATCCTCATGACCGATCTCGGTATGCTGTCCGCAGACGGGCGTTCTCGAGCTTTCGATGCTGATGCTAGTGGGTATGTGAGAGGCGAGGGGATCTGTGCCGTCATTCTCAAACGGCAGGCTGCTGCTTTGCAAGATGGGGATAATATCAGGGCTGTGATCAGAGCTTCTGGCACAAACCACGATGGCAAGACGCAAGGCATCACGTTGCCTTCGCCGGAGGCGCAAGAAGCGCTCATCAGATCAACATATGTCGAAGCCGGGCTGGATTTTACGGACACGCAGTATTTTGAAGCGCATGGCACCGGTACGCAAGCAGGTGACCCGCGCGAGACGTCCGCTATAGGCGCAGTGTTCGCGTCGGGACGAGAGCAGACACTCTATGTCGGATCGGTCAAGACGAACATTGGCCATCTTGAAGGCTCGTCCGGCCTCGCTGGAATCATTAAAACGACGCTTGCACTTGAGCATCACCAGATCCCTCCAAACATGCTGTTCGAGAAGCCGAACCCGAAGATTGATTTCGAGAAATGGAAATTGGCGGTTCCGACTCAGCTTTGTGATTGGCAGACCACGAATGGTGTGCGGAGAGCGAGCATCAATTCTTTTGGCTATGGAGGTACGAACGCGCATGTTGTGTTGGAGGAATACCGAAGCCCGGCTCGAGATGAGATACGGCTGTTTGGTAGTAGTGAGGCTGATGATGACGTAAGCGAGGATGCTGGAAGACCTTACCTCTTGCCTATCACATCGCACACCGCGAAGACTGGCGAGAAGTTGGAGAAGGCTTTGCGTGACTATCTCGTCTCTAACGAGGAAGTGGCTCTGTCGGACCTCACTTGCAGTCTCTCAAGCAAGCGCACATTCCACGGCCAGCGTTCCTTCGTTGTGGCTGGAGATGTCGAAGATGCTCTCGATCAGCTTGACCAAAAACGCCCCAACGCTCCATGGGTATCTTCCAACCAAAACCCTCCCCGCCTCGGCTTCATCTTCACAGGCCAAGGCGCGCAATGGTACGCAATGGGCCGCCAACTCATCAACTCGTGCCCCCTCTTCCACCAGTCAATCAAGCACTGCGACCGAGTCCTAAGCCAACTTCGCGATGCGCCGTCCTGGTCTGTAATGGACGAGTTGCTGAAAAGTAAAGACGCATCTTTGCTGGGAAACACAGAGTATTCACAGCCATTATGCACAGCACTCCAGCTTGCGCTCATTGACCTCCTAACTTCATGGGGGATCAAGCCTACTGCCGTGGTGGGGCACTCGTCTGGCGAGATGGGCGCGGCGTATGCAGCTGGTATTTTGAGCTTTGAGAATGCCCTTATTGCAGCTTATTATCGAGGCTTGTATATGTCTGCTCCTACAGACAATAGTGTCAGAGGAGCGATGATGGCCGTTGGAATGAGTGAGACTGGAGCACGGGCCGAGCTTGAGCAACACAGCGGCAAGATTGCTATAGCGGCTATTAATTCCCCAACGACCATGACGCTTTCTGGGGACGAAGATGCGATTCTGCTCTTGAAAGACTCGTTGACAGAGCGAAAGGTATTTGCGCGACAGTTGCAAGTCACTCAAGCATTCCATTCACACCACATGCTCCCGCTTGCTCCAGCTTATGAAGCAGCTCTGAACTCCTTGCCCAACTTCAAGACTCAGAACCCGACATGCAGGATGGTGTCAAGTGTTACAGGTCGACTTGCTAATCCTGCCTTCATGGGGGCCGCCTATTGGGCGGAGAACATGACGAACATGGTTCGATTTTCGCAAGCCTTGTCAGGGATCCTTCAAGATGAGGAAGGACAGGATCTTATTGATGTTCTGGTTGAGATTGGACCTCATCCAGCGCTCAAAGGACCAGCCCGTCAAGTCCAACAACCCCTTGGGCTGAACAAGCCGTACTTTGCGTCCTTGACTAGAGGCGCACCAGACTATGAAGCCATCCTCACACTTGCAGGCCAGCTCTTCTCGCTCGGATATCCTGTCGACTTGGAGGCCGTAAACTCAAATGGAAACCCCAAGAAAGCGAGTGGGAAACGACTACTTCATATGCCCTCTTACCAATGGGACCACAAGAGATACTGGGCCGAGACTCGCTTTACCAAAGAACTCCGCCTCAGACCATCGCGTCATGCAATCCTCGGCGCACCAGTCCCTGGTTCCTTCGCCAACCACCCACGATACAGGAATCGCATTGTGCTTGGTGAGCACCCATGGCTGTCAGACCATGTCATCGATGGCAGAGTCATCTTCCCCGGCGCTGGCTACATCAGCATGGCTATCGAAGCCGTAGCGCTTCAGCTACCACTAAGTGCTGAAGTGAGAGCAATCGTCCTCAAAGACATTGTCATCAAAGCCGCGCTGATGTTGCCTGAGACTGACACTGGTGTTGAGATCATGCTTGAGCTCCGCCCAGAAAGCGTGTCTGCGAAGGCGTTTTCGGATCGGTGGTTTGAGTTCATGGTGTGCTCATATGACGCGGAAGATCGCTGCATTGAGCATTGTCATGGCCGTATCGCCGTCGAGCAAGGCGAAGATATGGTATTTTCTATTGCGGAGAAGTTTGAACCATCCTCCGAGCTGCTCAAGAAGACTGACCGATCAGAGTCCGCTACATCTTTCTATCGACGCCTCAACGCTTTGGGTCTCCAGTATGGTCACAAGTTCAGTCTTCTTGCGGGGTCCGTCGATCGGGGCAATGGATTTGCAATGGCAAACCTGGACTTCGATCCTACTATACTTCCGCAAGAACCATATGAAATGACCATATTGCATCCCACGCTCCTCGACGCTTCTTTCCACGTCGGCTTTAGCGCAATTGAATCTTGCCTGGGCCGTCAGCTCCGCGAGCCATATGTTCCTACGTTCATCGAAAAGCTCATAATATCTGGCTCGTTCTTGACTACTCGCAATTCACCAGCAAAGCAAGACATGCAGATCTGCGTTTCGACAAAGTTGCCCTCGCGACGTGTGGCTATTAGCGATTTCTTGCTTCGTTCCCGTGATAGCGAGACACCCCTCTTAGAGATTCATGGCCTCGAAGTCACGTCGCTAGGCCGCGAGGGAGCAGATGAGGAGGGACGCAGTGTATTCTTTTCCCAGCAGTGGATGCCGGCATTCGATATGTTGCAGTCCGATCACGACGTACCTGCTCTGAAGTCCATTGAGGACTTGGTCGAATTGTACACACATCAACATCCAAACGCGCAGGTCTTACACATCTCACCAAGCCCCAGACATACCAGCACATTGGTGTGCAAGCTCGGACTGGGTACAGAGAATCGACGCAGGATTGGACATATCGATGTTATTCTGCCTGATGACATCCAGAACATCGACCGCGAACGCCTTGAACAATTCGGCAACAATTTGCTTACAGTGGGACAACCACGCGAGAACGCTTACGACCTTGTCGTTGTGAGCGCTAACTCAGACGTTACTCTGAGCAACTATCTTAAGGAGGATGGTACGGTCATATTCGACAAGGCTACCACCGATGCCCCTCCAGGACTGAAACAACAGCTTCGGAGCGACAAATTCTCAATCTTCAAGAAATTCGACGAGGTACTCACTCCACTAGAGGATATCGCCATCATCCTCCCTTCGACAAGTATGTCGGAACGCGCACAAGCAATTCTCGCGGCCATCTCCTCCAAGTACGCTGGTCAAGTCATCCCAACGACCTGGGATATATTCGAGGAGACAGTCGGACTGACGAACACCTTCGTCATCCTATCCAGTCTCGTTGAGCCCTTCGCAAACGATAAGACGTTCAAGGGTGCACAAAAGCTCCTCACAGGCATCAATCGCAATATCGTCTGGCTCACTGAAGGCGCAATCATGGACTGCACCCAGCCCGAATCCGCTTGGGTTCTTGGGCTGCTTCGTTCTGCGCGTAGTGAGAATGACGCCATTCGTGCTGTTCTGCTCGATTGCGATCCTGTGGGCCAACCTCAGGAGGTTGCTGCAAGAATCGGGCAAACCCTTGAGGTTTCGATGCATGAGGAGGAGTTGGCAGAGCGCAAGGGTTGCGTCTATGTCCCCAGAATTGTTGCCGATGATGGCAGGAATGCGAAATTGCAGAATGGAGCTCCCTCTCGTCCGAGGCAGAGACTTCTGAATACGAACGAGAGCTTAAAGCTTGAAATTGGGCAGTTTGGTGTCCTTGATTCTCTTCGTCTTGCGCACGACGAGAATGTAAATCAGCCACTGGCTCCAAACGAGGTAGAGATGCAGGTTAAGGCTACAAGCGTCAACTCCAGAGATATCGATGTCTGCATGGGATCGATCAACAATGAAGCTCTCGGCGGCGACTGCGCCGGTGTCGTCACTCGCGTGGGTTCGGATGTGCCACTCCTCTCGTTCAAGCCTGGAGATCGAGTCGTTGCATGGATGCCAGGAGCAGGTTGTCACCGCACCATTGTTCGAGCTCCAAAATCTGCTTGTGTTGTGCTTCCGGATTTTGTCTCCTTCCCAGAAGCTGCCTCTTTATCTCAAGGACTGGTTTCTGCTTACTATGGACTGGTCGAGCTCGCTCGGATCCAGCCGGAAGAGACTGTATTAATTCACTGCGCTGCAAGCGGTCCTGGCCAAATAGCTCTCCAGCTGGCAAAAAGAGCTGGTGCTCAAATTCTAGGCACAGTTGGCTCTGAGACGGAGATCAATCTTCTAACCACGAAGTACGGCCTGGAAATCGGCAACATGTTCTCCTCACGCGACACCACTTTCGCCTCCAGCGTCATGGCAAGAACAGCTGGTAAAGGTGTTGACGTGATCTTGAGCACATTCACAGGACAATTACTCCAGGCCAGCGTGCAATGCCTGGCTCCTTTCGGGCGCTTTATTGACCTTTGTGGGTCAGATGCCGTGGAAGACATAAGACTGGGTCTGCGCTGCCTGCATAAGAATGCCATGTTCGCTTCAGTCGACCTTGTTTCCATCCCCCAAAACCCGAAGCTCACAACTCGTTTGCTGCAAAATGTCTTCAGACTTGTTGCCGAAGGACACATCAAGCCACCATCAGACATTATCGAGGTTTCGTACGCCAACGTCACCCACGGTTTCCGGCTCATGCAGAAATCAGACGGCATTCGCAGCATCGTCCTCACACCGAAGAATGGAGAACAAATCTCCGTCCTCCTAGCCAAGTTCAACAACCAGCCACTGTTCAGGCCAAACAAGACATATCTCCTCGTCGGGGGCCTAGGAGGCCTAGGTCGCTCAATGGCAGAATGGATGTACCGCCGCGGCGCCCGCAAAATTTCCTTCCTCTCTCGCTCCGGCGCAAAGCGTCCAGAAGCCCAAGCAACAGTCTCCTGGCTCACGTCACGAAACGTCGAAGTCTCTGTCTTCAGCGGCGATGTTTCCTCTCTTATCGACGTAATGTCCTGCATCCGGCAAATCCGCCCCAGTCTCGCAGGTATCTTTCACGCCGCCATGGTACTGCAAGATACGCCTCTAGAGAAAATGTCATTCGAGCAATGGCAAACGTGCTTCACGCCCAAAGCTACAGGCGCGCAGAATCTGCATCTCTCGACGCTCAATCTGCAGCTCGATTTCTTCGTGTGCTTCTCGTCCGTGGCTGCGGTGCTGGGATCGAAAGCTCAAGCAAATTATTCGGCTGCGAATTCGTTCCTTGATGCATTCATGCGGTATAGACGCGGTCTCGGGCTCTGTGGGACAGCCATGAATGTCGGTGCTGTGGGTGGCATTGGCGTTATTGCTGAGAATGAGGCGTTGCAGAAGGTTATGGGGAGATTGGGAATGGATATGATTGACGAGGAAGAGTTGTTGTATCAGTTGGAAGAAGCGGTTTCGTCGAAGGGTACTGCAAGCGTAAGCGGAATTGATGAGCATTCGATCATTACTGGCATCAGTCTCACTCGGGCAGACGTCGAATGGGCGTCGAAGCCACTCTTGCAGAATCTGTATGCTAATCACGACTTTGCCAACTCCGGGGCCACTACGAAGGGAGACGGGCAGTCACTCAGTGTGTTACTGGCAGCTGCAGCAGATCCTAAAAGTAAAACGAGAGTGTTGGTGGATGGACTGATGGATAAGATGGCGGTTGTGCTTGGAACGTCCAAGGAAGATGTTGATGCTAAGAAGAGCTTGGGGGATTACGGTCTTGATTCTATTGTTGCTGTTGAGTTTCGGAAGTGGTTCCGCAATGTTGTTGGCGTCGATATGGCTTTATTTGACATCTTGGGTTCTGGAAGTATCGAGGCGCTCTGCGGGAAGGCTGTCGCATTGATAGGCTGATTCTTAAAGAAGGAGGATAGTTGCGAAAGGAGATATCTCCCCAAGTCTGAGGGGCGATTCGAGCTTGACTTCGGGTCCAGGTATACGGCGTGTCGTACTGGGTGGATAATGGCATCCTGTTCCTAGAACGCAGGATTGTTTTTAGCTATATAGAAGGATCAATAGTAGCGCTTATAATGTCTCTTACGGGGATAGATCAGCTCAGTTGCATACATTAAAGATGCCATTTTCAATTTCTTCGATATTCCTTCAATGTAAACAAAGTCGTATTGCCCAAGTCCGAATCGTGAACCCACATAGTTACTTTCTCTGTGGCTTACCGTTTATCCCTTGCACCAAGTGACTTCGGCGGTCAACTAAGCTTCCAGCCTCTCACAGGTTTTCCAGCTCGTATCTTTCAACCAGAAAAGCCTTAGCATAGAACAAATCGCGATAATAACAGATGACAATATTTCACGCAACATTCTAGACAGGAATCCAACCTTATCAGTTCCGCTGCCACCAGCTGCGCCCTCCGCTTAAATATACGGAATATTAAAACCCCGACTCTTCTAACGCATTTCAATTTATAGATCCTTTATAAAAGCAAAATAAAAATTCGTATAAGAGCTAACTGAAAGGCTATTTATTAGCTAATAAGAGGGCCTAAGTCTTATATTATTACGTAAAGATTTATATAAGTGTGAAATTAAGAGAAAATTATAAGCAAGGGCTATATCTAGTAATAATGGAACGGATAACTTCTAGTTAATTAGAAGCGAGAGTAAAAACCCCAATTTGCTTATTTCTGGCATACTATAATAATAATACTATTATAGTTTCTAGAAGTAATTAGTTATTTAAGCTCTTTAAAAATCTCAGGTTATTTTTTTAATATAAATATAAGCTAATATATTATAACTCTAGTATTATAATTATATATTTTTTAATTTATAATAAAAAGATTTCTTAAAATAGAATTTTAATTTAAGGGAATTTATATACTAATTAATTAAGTTCTAGTTTTTAAACCTTATAAGGCCTTATAAAGCATTATAAATTAGAGGCTTATAAGGCTTTTATATTTAATTATAAAAACTTATTTACTAAATTTCTAGGCTTTTTTAAGTTTATTTTTTATTAGAAAATACTCGAAGTATTTTAATTAGTAGATATATATATAAATATATAAGTAATTTATATATAAGCTTTTAAGGCTTTATATTTCTTATAACTTACTTTTTTTCTTAAGTTTTAATTAGTTAATATTACGAATTATTTCCCGATTTACTATTCTTTAAGTAATTTTATTATATAATAGAACTTTTTTTAAAGTTAATATAATAATCTAATTATAATTATTCAATTAACTAAGTAAAAATAATAATAATATATAAGAGATTTCCGGTAATTTTATTTTATATTCCGGAAATCTTTCCAAAAAAAATTAATATTATTAAATTAATTATTAAAGATTATATAAATATAAAAGAGGTATTTGCTTTAACTTTCTAATATTAGTAATTAAAAAGCTAAGAAATTAATTTCAAAAGGGCTTATAAATTCGAAAATTTATAAAAAATCAAAAAAATAATAAAGGTATTTAAAAAGAACTTATTTAAAAATTAAATAATATAATCCGGAATTATAAATAATTTAAATAATATTAATTAAGTTCGGAATAATAAGATAGCTAATATTAAAATCTAATATATTTCTTACTATTTTCCTTAATTAATAATAGAAAAGAAAAAAAAAGCTTATAATTATATAAAAAATATATTATAAATTAAAGAAATAAATTCTAGTAATAAGGTAATAAAAAATAAATAAAAAATAATTAAATAATATTTATCTTTTATAAATAAGGCCTTTCTAATTTAAACTTAATATTTTAAAAGCTAAATTATTAAATAATTATTATTAAGTATCCGGAAGCCCCTAATTTTCTTTTATATAGCTATTAAATTCGAATTTATTATTATTAATTATAGCTAATATCTAATAATTATTTGAAATTACTTTTAAATAAAAGTAATATTTATTTTTAATTTATTTAAAAATAATATTTAATTATAAATTATAAAAATATATTATTAATTTAAAAATATAAATTCTAATTATATAAAACTATTTTATATAATTAATTAAACTAATAATTATAATAATAAAACTTAATAAATTATTATAAAATTTAATAATTAGATCTAGCTAAAAATATAATTATTTAAGAAATATAAATCAAGAAATATTATTATTAAAATAAACTTAAAAATATAATAATATAAAATATTTAAAAACTAATTAATTTAAAACTTCATAAATTATTTTAAACTTAAAATATATAATATATTATAAAGTTATAAAAAAAAGTAATATAATTAAATTACTAATTAAAGCTTATAAAACCGATTTTAAAAAGAATATTTATTATTTTAAATAAAATAATATTTATTATAAATAAGTTTTTATAAGTTATAGCTAGGCTATTTCCGGTTTCAAAAAATAATAATATTCTTTTAATATTAGTATAATTTCGCTAAGAATATAAAGCAAAATTTAATTTACTAGCTTTAAAATTAAATATTATATTTTAAGCTTTTCGAAATTTCTTAAAATTATTTTTAAATAATTTTAATAGTAAATATAAAGAAATATTATTTTTAGTAATTTTAATAAATTAAAGAAAGAAAATATAAAAAGAAAAGTTATATTTTAAATATTTTATTAATAAATACTCAAAAAAAATAAGCTTTTTTAATAATTAAAATAATAGAAATATAAAAAAAGCCCTTATTATTTAATAAATTAATATTATTTATTTTATAATAATATTAAATTCTTAATTATTCTAATTCTTATTATATATTTCTTATAGTAATATTTTTTATTAATAATATTATATTATTATTAAAGAATAATTATTTAATAATAAATATATTTATAATAATTTAAAAGAAAAAAGTAAAAATATTAAGAAATTAAGAATTAATAAATATTAAATTATTTCTATTATAAAAAGATATTTTTTTAAAAAAAAAAATTCTTAATTTTATAAAAATATAATTATAAATAAGAACTTTAAATAAATAAAATATATGAATTAAGGCATTTATTAATTTTATAAATAGTAAATTTCAAGAAACTTTCTAGTATATTACTATTAGTATAACTATTCCTTTGGGAGTCACGTGCGTAGTTACGGGATACGGGATACGGGACATGGGCAATGGGACATAGGATACGGGACATGGTTATATAACCTCGTATCCCATTAGTAACTCGACTAGTAGACTAGACCCCTTTAGGCTTAGCAGATTTAGGGATCGCATATTAATACCACAATACTGCAATCCTTACTTCTAAATAATAACAACTTTACTAACCATATGCAAATAGTATTCTACGACTTACGTAACGGTGCCATATATTACTAGTGAACCAATACTAATCAGTTTATATATACAGATCAGAGAAGATTTTAGATTAGTCCTAAAAGCATTCGGTAGCCTAAGACAAATCTAGTCTATTCTATATTAAAGGGAGGAACTACTTATCAACTTTACAAAAATATTCGGTGGCCTACAGAGAAGATATCTAGCTCTTGCCAATTAACAAGCGGTCAGCCATTTAACTATCTATCCATTCAACTTCTACTATCCTTTAAAACCAACTTCTTTTGGCCCCAAGACCACCTTCTTGGAAACCATCTTTTATATTTATATAATACCCGTATCTATGGGACCCTCTCTCCGGAATATATGCCCTATATACGCCCTTAAAGCTATTCAACTACTACTTCGATTTTACTATTAAATTGAGTCCTTCGAGCTTCAGACCCTTCCGGAATCATAATATTTCACTTCCTAAATTTCTTATTACAGACGAAATATTTAAGAGCAAAATATTTACTTTAATACCCATAATACCCCTAGACATCTGGGGCATCTGGCATCTAAACCAGGCATCTGGATACCTTTACTACCAAACCCTTTCTATGAACCTATTACGAACTACCTTACCTTCGAACCCCTCCTGCCACGAACCACACATATATACTAGAGAGAACCTGAACTCGGTTTAGTATAGATACTAATGAGAGAAAGAAACTAATTAAGAAATGGGAGAACGGTATCGACCCAGTAACTATAATAAAGGCTGAACTTTAGGAATATATAACTACTAAGATATATTAGTATATCTTATATAGGAAAAGTAATAATAACCTATAGGATCTGTTCCAGGATAACTTCAAAAACTTTAATACTACGGTATATAGTCTAATTAATTATATACTTATATAAAATCTTTGAGCCCAACTTCGGTATAATAGTATCTATATTAAATAGAACTATAGAAACCTTACTATTATATAATTCTTTATTAACCTTACCCAAGAAAAAATAAAGAATATATAGAATAAAGCTAATATTATTAATAATAATCCAATTAGAATAGATCTTCTTTAGGGACCTATTATATCGATTTATCTTATTCTAGATAGAACTAGATATAAGGGAACCAGATAATCTCAGTTAAGAAATCAAGCTATCTATTTACCTCTTCCAAATTAAGGCTATCTACTACTTTCACCTTTACTACTACTAGTATTACTACCGAACCCGAACTACCATTAATTAGTATCTACTATTTCTGCTAGAAAGCTTATTAGGGAAATAGTAAAAATATACTCCAAAATACAGAAATATAACGGAACTAATAATAGTTTTAATTATAAACTCACTATCTTCCTCGATATCTACTAATATATAGAGCTCCCAGAAAAGGTACTAGTAAGAGCTTTTCCTACTATATTAAAGAAACTTATATAAGACTACTTCTATAATAACCAGCTCTCGAGCCATATATATAAAGAGGCCTATATAAACATCCGTAGCTTCTTTAAAAGCCCCGGTTTCTATTATCGAAATTTAGATAAATAGAATACTACTACCTTAGTAACCATAATAATAAAGGACCCTAAAAAGATAATATTTGAGCTTGTTTAAATACTAATTAATAACCTATATAAATTATAGTATAGCCTTACTCCTATCTTATAAAATACCGAATTCCTATATAATAAGATTATTACCTCCTATTAAGGCTTACCGGTATACTAATATATAGTCTCGGACTCTCCTAATAATCTCGGCTAGCTTATTAATAAGCTCTAATCATTTATTACTATTTATAAGAAGGAGTAACAAATTACTACCGAAACCTACTTTACTAATTAATAATAC